ATTCTCTCACCCTCCCGCACTTCTGACTGTACCCAGTGCTTGCATAAATAAATAAATAAATAAATAAACAAACAAACCTTAAAAAAAAAAATTGCAACCCCCTTATTAAAAAAAAAAAAAAAAAGAAAGAGTTTGACCCCCATCCTCCCATACATAGAGTGTCTGTAGTGTGCTTGTCCACATGTGTTCTCTCAGCGACCTTTTGTTGTGTACCCCAAACTCAGTGTCTTGAGACAAGTGCAGTGTATTCTTTCATCGTGATTCTCTTTAAGCTGAGAACTCAGCCGCCACGGGAATGACCAACTCGAGTGCTCTATCACGGGCCGTTTCCATGTGACTTTTCCTCCCTCAGCATCTGGCCTGAAGTGCTTCGCAGCACGGCTGTGGCTTTCCAAGGCAGAGGTGCCAACAGGCAGGCCCCAGGGCATCGGCACTTAGTAAACTCCTGGGCATCGTATTTACTGACGTCCCACTGGCTAAGTAAGTCACATGGCCAGGCCCCAGAGTCCATGCGAGGGGGGATTAGACAAAGATATTGGAAAGCCACCGATGGGACAGGGTTCCCCAAGACTGGTTCCCGCCTCTAGCCACATGGGGGAGCCTACTTAGTCTCTATTATTTATAGTCTACGAAAGCTGAGCCCGGTTCATTTCTTCCTTCTTCCACATACAGAGTCCAGGGTCTATGTGGTTTGGTCTGATGATCATTTTGCATTTGATTCTATTTCTAATCTTCTTTTTAATCATAGTAAAAATATTTTCATTTTCTCTTTGATATAACTTATTTTTCTGTTTGCAGCAGATGGAAGAAGGAGGAATCTCAAATATTCATTGGAAATGTCATCTCGGTGGGAAGTCTGGCTCCTGTCCATGTTCCTTAGTAAGGTCCTCTACCAAATCCCTCCAGCCTTCCCCGGAAATGGCACCCCCCTCCTAGTGAGTGCTTCCCCTTCTTTTTCCCTGTGTGCATACACCACAGGGGAACTGGACTGGCCGCCCCTGTTCCGTGGCTGTTCCTGTGGCTCTTGGGATGATCTCGCCCCCGACAGTTGCGTGGATGTCCTCTAGTTCTACCAGCTAAATGCTGGCAGCCAGAAATACTCTTTTCCTCTGAACTCCCAGGATTTTCCCTCCTTTTCTCTCTAGGCAATTATCACTCCCTATTTTTAGCAGAGATATTTACATATGACTTAACTCTGTCTTGGTTGCTTGGGGGTAAGGCTCATGCCCAATTTTCCCTGTGAGAGCCTTGGACTCTGATTGCAGGCTCTCAAGATTAACATGTTCCCTTCCCACTGCAAAGTTATCCCAGGGAGCTAATTTGCACATGAATTTGAAAGAACTGACTTTCAGGGGAAGGTGAGATGCACGTTTATTTTATACCGTCTCCACTGATAGGCCTTTTTATGCTCTAACTGCTACCAATTGCCTTCAGATTTTATTACGTGTAATCATAATACACTGCCTATATTTTAGTGGTTTCTAAGATAATTCTCTAAAGGCATACCTTGAGGCAGAACACTTAATCCTGCTGTTATAATTTTCTTTGACTTCTAGAAAATAGGCTCAAATGAATACCTTTGCTTAAGGTTTAACTCACTCTAAATGGAGTTATATACCCATGTGACATTGTGAACCGTGTACAGAATCATGATTTATTTGCCCTCTGATGCTTAGCGCCTAGGTCAGAGACTGGAGCATGATAAATGTTCCGTGTTTTCAGACTTTGTTGGAAGAAGACCTGCAGGTTTCTTAAGCCCCTCCCCTACAGCGACGCCGCAATGCTGTGCCTTTATTAATATCTATTTATAAAGACCAACCTGTTCTACTGTATTTAAAACACAAAGAACCTTTCAGGGAAAGTAGATTGCTTTTTACTATTGGTAAAATGTTGTAAAAGCTAGGAACAGTAAAAAGCTTTTAAAACATGCAGCGCTCCACGGTGTTTGATGACAAAGATAGGAAATATTTGTTCTGTTTTGAAAAAAAAAAGAGCTAAACTACTCTTTTGAAGGAGTATTGCCATCAGGATCTTAGAAGATTCATGGGAAAATTTCAAATGTGTTTTGAGATCCAGACTCTGACTGTGGCAAACCAGGGGCTCAATAAATGAGGCTTAACCCTCATTTATACCTTCCAGGATTTCTACCCACGTTCTTTGTCTTGAAACCTATTGCAGAAATGCAGAGGAGAGCAAAACCATGCTGTATCATCTGGTGGCACTGGTGTTATCTGTGAAACCAACTGCAAATTATTAAACTTGAACAAATGTCCTTGAGTCTTCATCACCTTTATTCTCTAAGGCTTCAATATGAACAGGGGGCAGAGTATCTATTTCTACATGAGCCTTACTCATTAACAGTAACTCATAATTACTTCAAATCCTACAACCAAAATGCTCTTTGGATTGTATCACCTCACTGTGCCTTTCATCAGGTACACCCCATGAGCTATTAATACATTTTGTTGGGTACATAACAGGTGTCAGGGACTTGCTGGCATAAGCAAAGGAATTCATTCTTGCAACTAAAATGCATTCAAAATCTATCATCAAGAATAATAAACCTGCCTTAGCTTACTATTTGGCAGAAAGGTAGGCATTTAACAAATAACTACCAATTGTAACAGGAATCTCCACAAAAAGGGGCAGTTCCAGCTTCCCTGCCCCACCTAATGAAGGATGGAGCTGAGTGTTGGGGGTGAAGATAGAGAACATTTGGGAGAGACACGTGGAGTAAACAGATATGTGAAGAAAAAGGACCCCTTTGCTTCTCAGCTTTGGCCTTACACCAAGGATATGGGGGACACAGAGGAGACCCTTGGGTGAGAGACACATGGGAAAGCTGACAATGGCAGCCTTTATCTTGGCTTGCACTTTGATTTTGCTTCTTTCGTCCCAGACTTGCCTGGTCCCTTTTGCCCCAGAAGGTGCCTTAGACTCGTGGCAAGCTTTCAGGCCTCAGTGGCCACACTTCAGAACAACCCTGTTGGGCTGGGCATCAACCCACAAGGTTAATTTTGAGTATTTTATTTGGAAATTATATCCTTTCTCTTCTTGCCCCTCTATGAACAATCATTCTATTAAAGATCTTACACACCAAGAATATGCTTTTTCTTTATGCAGCAGATGGCTAAAGCTCTTTAGAGTGTGCAAGTTTGGGGATCCCAGGGTACCCCTCAGCCTGCCCAGTACCATGTAAACACAGGATAAATAGCCCCAGTCTACTCCACTATTCTTTAGAATGTACAGCCATGTAAATTCTCCATATGTATATTATTAAATTTTGGCTTTTTCTCCTATGACTTTGTCTGATGTTAATTTGTTCATCTGTCCAGCCTTAGAAGAACCCAGATGGGATGGGGAAATTTTCCCCTGCACTCTGACAAAATGTGGAAGTTGAGGAGGAAGTGGGGTGGTAGTCAGGCAAACAAGTGGAGTGTCACTGGACAGGTGCTATACCAGCGGATGGCTAAAGTCCTACCAAACTAAAGAAGAGGGAGGATTTAATTCTGTCCTGAGGCATGGGGAGGGCATCAGAAAGGAGCCAAAATTTCAGGGGTGAATAGAATTTCTGCAGGCTAAAAGGGGTGCTGGTGATGGCATGGTGATGGTGTTCAAAAAGGGTCTACTTCCAAAGCATAGGCAGGGCAGGGCTGAGGAGCTCCAAGTACAACCACCAGGAGCAGATGTCATCAAATCATTCCTACTGACTCAGTCTCTTGGACAAGCACCACCATAGCAAGCTGAACCAGTTTGGGTGTTGAAATTTCAGGTCAGGTTTTAAGATTTTCCTCCCCAGAGTGTAAATACATGTCCAGTTAAATTTGAATTTCAGATAAACGCCGAATATTTTGACAAGGCCCCGAGAGTTGGGACATATTAATATAAAAAATTACTTATCTGAAGTTCAAAAAAGAATATTTGTTTTGATTTGACTTTTTGTGTATTTTTGCTACATCAGGCAACCCTACCAGAGTGCTAAGAACCAACACAGTTCTGCTGTGGCACAACAATCACCCAGAAAACGCTACCAGGCCCCTGGCTTTCTGTAGCCTTCTCTAAACTCTCTCCAATCTGAAGCCAGAGAGTAGGGTCCCCAAAACAGACGCCGTTACTGGGCAACCACGGCTCAGTAGCCACCAAACCGTGGGCGGGATTCAGCTTAACAAGCGCGGTGCATCCTGGGAGTTTTCTAAGTTCGGATTCGCTGCCAAAGGTCACCAGACTACAACTCCCAGCAGCGCTAAAGGGCCCGGGCGAGGCACGCTGGGAGTTGCGGCTTTACCCGGCGGAAGGGTTACGGGAGCTACTCGCGCATGAAGAGCCCGGGGCCAATTTTGAGAGCTTGGCGACGTTAGGGATCCATACCGGCGGCTAACTGGGCAGTCGCGGGTTGCAAAAGAGAGCAAACAGGTCTTGGAAACATCGTGGAGAGTTGGGTCTGCGCGCGGTGACGCGACGCCCCGCGCAAGGGTGGGGACGGAGGGTCGCCCGGGCACGTGACCCCAACGCCTGCTTGCGATTGGCTGCCTCGGGGGCGCGGCGTTCGGGCGCGGACGCCCGGGATTGGTGCTTCGGGCGCGCGGGGTGGGACTCCGGCTGCTGCCGCGGGAGGTCCGGACACCGGCGGCCATGGGACTCGCCGGTAAGTGCGCGGCTGACCTCCCGGCACCGGCACCCTCGGCCGCTTCCACTCGGGGCCGGGCTGGCCCGGGGGGAGTCCGGCCGGCTCCGGAGGGGGCGGGGCTCACCCGACTTGCGCCCCAGAGTCGGGGGTCGAGGGTCTCCGAGTGCAGCGGGACGGAGAGTGCGCCGAGGCGGCCGCGCTGGAGCCGGCTCCTGAGCTCAGGCGGGCGGGGGCGTAGGGCTCCGGGACCCCTGCCGCAGACCCCGGCCCACGCGGGGTTCTTCCTCCCCTGGGGCCTGGCGAGAACCCCCCCCCCACCCCGACTGGCTCGCTGAATGAGCGGGGGCTTCCTTCCTTGGCCCTGGCTCTTCCCAGCGACCTCGGTGAGGGAAGCCTGGGCAGTGGCGGGGGACTCGGGGGAAGCCCCGTCCTCATGAGCCCGAGACTCCTCGGGTCTCCCGGAGGCTCCCCGGGAGCTTTGGCGGCGATGGACTGCCCGGGGACTCGTTGGCCACGCGCGAGAATCCTCAGGCCGTCTCGCCTTTGCCACTTTTTAGTGCCTGGGTGGGGGTCTTGCCCGAAGCGCCCAACAAGTGGTCTGGCTTCTCATTTGTGAGTCAGAGCTACTCGGTGCCTGCATCTCCAAGCCTCCCTTCGCCTTGAAAATCGCAGTCTGTGGTCGTGCGGCTTGTTGAGCTTTTAGACTGTAAAGCTGTCAGGTGTGATCACCCGCAGAAGTCGCCGACTCTCACAGAGCGTTGCAGTTTCACTTCTTTCGATGATTTCGTGTGGTCTTTGGCTCACGGTTTTCGTTACCGTCCCTCTTTTTAAACTTAATAGCACTGGAAAATTTGGGTTTAGGTGACAGACCACAGGAAGAAAATGTTAGGGAGACCGCTTTAGAGCACAAACTTTAAGAATCTCATTTGGTGAAACTGAGTTATGATTAGTAGATTCACATCAACAAACACCGAGTGTTTTTGAGACTGCCATTAAAAATATAGATGACTTTGTTGAGAGAATAGTTAAGACGTTAGGCACGTGCAGGTAATATGCATTTTCTGAGTTTGCAGGAGAAACCGGGAACTCTGCCCTTTAGGATGACTTCCTGAGAGATAGCTGTTTCTGGAGACAGGGAAATCTCATTTGTAAAGCTGAGGAAGAGTTTCACCAGCTTTCCAAGACTCTTGGAAAGTGGAGCTTTAAAAGTCTAAGAAACCATACTGTACTGAATACTGAGTAGGCATTTCACGCCCATGGGGGTCTAGGGGTCCCCAGAGATGAGCATTTCCCACTTTAGATGTAGACAATGGCTGCAGCTCCCCCCCATTTTTAGTTTACTCTTTACTTCCAGACTCCAGACTGAAGGGAGGGACACTCATGGAAGGAAGACTTACATCACTGGAAGAGAGGTCTAGAAAATGGACGGTGGGGGTTGATGATCACCATTTTGGATAAGGAAAGAGAAAATGTGTGTGTGTGTGTGTCTGTCTGTCTGTCTGCAGCCAGCACTACTGGTGGCACTTGCTGAAGGTGCCCTCAAGAAGACAGTTCTAGCTCCAGGTATCTTTTATTTATTTATTTATTTATTTATAAAGATTTATGCATACAAGAGCTGGGCTGTAGGCCAGAGATACAGGGGTGAGAGGATTCACCAGAGACAGAGTGGGGAACAGAACGGGCAGATCTACTGAAATCCACTGCTGAGGGGAGCAGCGGGGAGGCAGGAGAGGTAGGCTGTGCCCTGTGGGTTGGTCCCTGCCAGGAAGCAAACTCTTGCTGCAGAGGCTGCAGGTTGCTTCATAGTGGGGTGCTTAACCCCTTGCGCCACCAGGGAGGCCCTCCAGGTATCTTTCAGTGTTAGCTGCAAAGTTGATACTAGCAGAACTTCGTGAGATGAATTGAGTCGGTGGCTCAGTCTAGAGCAGTGTTGGCACATTTTTTTTTCTGTAAAGAGCCATGTATTTAGTGCAATGAGCTGCTTTGTTAGCATGGCAAACTGTTACATACTGTGGTGTAACAACCTTGTTGTTAAAAGTTCTGTGTAGCAGTATTTCTAAACAAAATTAGAAGGACATTGTAGAATCTACGTTTGACATAGTAAATGCCAAGCAAACAAATGTGATCAGCTTAATTCATTGTATGCTTTGTTTTTATTTCTAGGGGGAATGCTATCACTTTATATTAATGTTAAAGCCATTTCTGTCTGGATTTGGAATGTGGAATGTATTTTGTCTGTGAATTGAGATCCTGTTTTACTCTCTTTTTCAGGTAACAGCGACACAACTGGGTTGCTCTAAGGACTCATGCCTGAACCATCTCAGCATGGCCTATAGAGGAGGAGGAAGAGGAGGAGGGGGAGGAGGAGGAAAAGAAGAAGAAGAAGAGCATGACCAGCCTTCCTCAGCTGTGCTCTCCTGCGTCAACCCTGGAAGTGTTTGCATAAGTAGAAACCGGGCCCATAGTATCTGCATGGTGTCGGACTTTTTCTACCCGAACATGGGAGGCGTGGAAAGCCACATTTACCAGCTCTCTCAGTGCCTGATTGAAAGGGGGCACAAGGTCATTATTGTCACCCATGCTTACGGAGATCGGAAAGGCATCCGTTACCTCACCAATGGCCTCAAAGTCTATTACTTGCCTTTGAAAGTCATGTACAACCAATCTACAGCCACGACCCTCTTTCACAGTCTGCCACTGCTCAGGTACATATTCGTTCGGGAGAGAGTCACGATAATCCATTCCCATAGTTCTTTCTCTGCCATGGCCCATGACGCCCTCTTCCACGCCAAGACCATGGGGCTCCAGACCGTCTTCACGGACCATTCCCTTTTTGGATTTGCTGATGTCAGCTCGGTGCTTACAAACAAGCTTCTAACTGTGTCTCTCTGTGACACAAACCACATAATTTGTGTCTCTTACACTAGTAAGGAAAACACTGTGCTCAGAGCAACACTGAATCCTGAAATAGTGTCCGTCATTCCTAATGCTGTAGATCCTACTGACTTCACGCCAGACCCATTTAAAAGGCACAGTAGTCTCACTGTTATTGTTGTCAGCAGACTTGTTTACAGAAAAGGTAATGAAACGATAGCTGTAACTGCACTGCACAGAGTTTTCTTTTTCTCTTTGTAGAAAGTTGTTCAATACTTGTGTATAATGATTGTTTGACTTTTCATTTTGTTTGATGATGTTATAACTACTGCTGCACTCGATACAGCAAAGAAAGGTAGCCTGTTTTATACAGCCAGAAAGAGAGCTTTTGGGAGCAGTGGTGAATGCTGTGCCTTCAACCTTTGATGTTTTATTAGTTACTGAAAAGTAAAAGCAGTAATCTGATGTTCTTTATAGGTCAGGGCTTATTGAAAATTCAAAAGGCAGCCTTGCACTAGCATTTTAAGAAGTCCGGGGGCAGATTGCAAAAATAATATCTTTTCATTGCAGATATTTTGAAAAGTAAGGAAAGCAAAAGGGTAAAAATTAAAATCGTCTGTAACTACTGTTCAGGGATGACCCTGATGAACATGTAGATTTAGGGCTTTTTTCTGTCTTATTTTACGCATCCAACAAACACGCAGAATGAGTGGGCTTGTCTGCATGCTCTTGTTCTGTAGCTGGCTTATTTTATGAGTCAGGTTTAATCAGACGTCAGTAACTTACTGGCAGGTAAGTGATAATGGCAGAGGGATTGGACAGCCCGCATCTGATCCTGGCTCCCCGGACAAGCTAGTTAACATCTGGGTCAGTTTTTTGGGGCAACGATAGGAATCTTGCTTGTGTTAGTGATAGTTCCTATAAAGTTCTCGGCCCCCTTTGTGCTTGACAGGTGTCCACTGCTATCAGAGAGGATGCTTTTAGTGCCCCTGCAGCAGTTAGTGGACACTGAGATAGAATTTCTGGAGCCAAGTTTACTGTAAGTCTGAAACTTACTCTTCTGGATGACAGTTGAAAACCTGGCCAGTGATCAAAAATGTCATTTGAAGTAGGGAATCATAAAAATAACTATAAAGATGATCCCTCCCCCTGGCCTCTGCTTAAATATTAGAGATTAACTTAAAATACTGGTACCATGCACAGATTTGCCAGCGGTTAGATGGCGGCTTGCAGATGCTGAGCCCGGCCCGGGATCGCACCGCATCCCCTCGCTTGCAGTCTCCTTCCAGGAGTGCAGTTTATAGTTGCCTGCTTGGGTTTCTTTTGAGCATCTGCAGCAGATGCTTCTGGAGTTTTCATGTGTCTTTGATGTTACATAGTGGGTGTAGGACACCCCCAATCTGACAAGCACAGTTTCCTGTGACTTTTCCTTTATTGAGTTTTCAAAAGCATTTGGCTTGGTTTCAGAGAAACTTATCTAGTCAGTTGACGTGTTATTCAATTAAATTACTTAGTATAACAAGCGCAGTTGGCCTCAAATAGGTTTGTGGACTAACACAGCTGATTTCGGTAAGCATGAAGTTTCACAGTGCAATCAGTAGTATAGAATGTACTAGAGAATGACCTAAAATCCAGATGTGGAATTTTGGTTGATTCGGCCATCCATGTCTGTGGAGGCTGGTAGGCAGCCTATTTTACTGCATTTTGTTGGGGTGAGGGCAGTGATGTGATTTCACTTTTTAATCAAGATTTGATGGGAAAAGCAATGTGTTTTCTGAATCCCTCTTGGGAAATTGGTGATCTGTTTGTTATAACTAAGGAAATGTATCTGATTTGTTCATATATAAATATATATCTTTGTGTGATAGCTAAGAAAGAGGGTAATACATGCATGGTCTAGAATCAGCAATGTTACTCATACAAAGATTAAATCACTGCCTTTACTTCGCTGACTATGGTATTTTAACCAGCTGGGGTAAGCACCAACACAGTAAAGGTACGGTCTTTCCTGTTAAGTTCAGTAATTTAACAAATATGTATTGAACCCTCTCTGTATGCCCTATGTGAAAGATAATATTTCTGAAAAGGAATGGCCATATGAGTAGCTCCAAAGTGGGTCATTGTATTAATGGTCCATTAATTATTCACAGATCAATTTCCTTAGGTTTCATTTGGACCCGACAGCCAAGGTCCACTGGCCTGTATTAGGTAAGAAAGTGGAGGAATCACAGTTCTTCACCCAGGTCACCTGGCTGACTGCTCCCTATTTGCTTGAGTCTCTTGCTCAGGCAGGGTTCCCCAGCTCCCCAGTGTCTGTGCAGGCATGCCCTACTTCTTGCTGGAGTGGTAATGATAACTTACATTTATATTCTGCAGTTGATAAAGCCTGGGCATGGTACAGTACCTCATTTGACCCTCCCAACAACTGTAGGGTAGATGTTATCTGCATGTAACTGACAAACTGAGTCTCAGAGAGGGTAAGTAACTCACCCGGGTTACACAGTAAGTAACAGATGATAAACAAGTTCAGCTCTTCTTGAGGTATGGTCTCCTGTTCCCTCTGCTCCCTGCCCAGCCACTGTGATCCAAAGTAAAGCTTCAGTAGATGCTTTGATAGGTTGTTAAAGAAAGTTTTAAAAAGCAGTTTGAATCAGGAATTTTCCTTGTCCATTTTATGGGACTGTGGCAACTGAAAATCTTTTATGCATGTTCCGTTGTGTTAGACTCTTAAAGGCAGCGGGAGAGTTGTTTTTTTTTTAAATAGTGGGGGGGAAAGGCCCTTTATTAGACGAATATTATAGATCATTGCTCATATTCGTTCTGTTTCTTATAAAGTAGTTGTCAGGATTAAATGGCAGTGCATTTAAAGTACGTTGCCTGACATAAGCTCTCAGTGAGTGTTACTTATTAGCAATTATGATTATTGTTCTATGTTTTTTTTTCCCCATTTGAAGAATGGGTTGTTACTCTTTATATTAGAAGGGGAGTGGAGAAGGGAAATGAAGGGAAGAAGTGATGGGAGACTAAATGTTAAAAGTCATTAAGTCACCTTCTGATTTATCTAGCAATCCAGTTGCTGGATTTGGAAATAACCTTGAAACAAAGATAGTTAAGATTTTAATGAGAATCCATCATAATTCAGAAAAATGCATGTGAATTTATGTTTGCTAGTGCAATCATATCTTGAAAATACTAGCAGAGCTTACTTAAATCCTAGTTTCAATTGTTTAATAAAATGACCCTACATAGATTATTTCTCGTACCATCTTTTTAATGATTGATCTGCCTATATTTGGGAAGATTGATATAAGAAGTGCAATTCTTATGTGTGTGCACTTTTTTCAAATCAATAAGCTAAGCTCTTAAGTGAATTATATTTACTTTTGAATGTGTGTGATTTGGAATTGTTAATAAACTGCATTCTCAAATAGTGCCACCATTGCCGGCACTTCCGGTAGTCACTATTTCAGCCTTGTAGGGCATAACTTGTTTTATTGCTTTATAGTACTTGAGGTTGTATTTGCATGTTATAAGAAGTAATTAATCAAAAAATTAAGGAACCAAGAGGCATCCTTTTGTTCTACTATGGATTGTAATGAGCCAGCGGTTGAGGCTCCACCCCGTCATTCATGGGAAGTGGGCCAGAGCAGATTTGAATGGACTGTTTCAAATTTTGCTAATATCCTTGTGTTCCCTCTAAAACCCTTTGTACAAACTGCATTCTGATGATGTGGAAGTAGCCACCATTTGTTGCTTAACCCCTCCTTATGACAGGAAGTAGAACCTGTAGAATTTTATAGCTGAAAGAGGCCTTGGACTTGAGGTACATAGGTCTCTTCATTTTCTGTATCAGGACCCTTTCAGTGATCAAAGAGCTTGCTCAAAAAGGCTGGGACAAGCCTCTGCAGTTCCCTGTCTTGCTCTGTAGAAAACCTGAATTCAAATGTTAGCTGCCTCCAGTACCTTTTTTAGAAGTAGAGAACTTGAAGAAAGCTGTCTTGAAATGAAACAGAACAGTGCCTCTGTTGAGTGGCAGGGAGGTCATGGTGGATCCCAGTATCTTCAAGAATTGCAATTCTTGGGGGACCTCCCAGGATAAAAGATTTAAGAGTGTGTCTCTACTTAAGCGGGGGGGGGGGGGCAGCTAATGTTTTCAAAATGAATGGATTCTCAGTTCTGATGTGTTTTTTAAGTTAAAATATTAATATCTCCAATATTCAACTTTATATTTTCAGGGACCGATTTGCTTAGTGGTATAATACCCGAACTCTGTCAGAAATATCCAGATTTAAATTTCATAATTGGAGGAGAGGGACCAAAGAGAATCATTTTGGAAGAAGTACGGGAAAGATACCAGCTCCATGACAGGTATTGATGGATTCCATAACGTCTTGCGTGAGAAAAGATTATTACCTATATTGGGTTTTAGTTACATGCCTGCGTCGAGTGAGCTTCTATGTATACTTGATATGAAAATGTAATCCGAGGCTATTTTTTTTTAGTGTATGTAAAGTGGTGAATGCTAGTTAAAGATCTCTATTTTTTTTTCATTAGCCTCATATTATTTGACTTCAAGGATCAGTCAGTGGCTGGAGTTTATTGTGAAGGGGGCAGAATAGCCCCAAACACTCTGATTGGAAATGTTTGCAGATTTTCAAGCCATACTGTGTTGTGATTTTGAAACATGACTCTCATCACATAAATTGCCCTGCACATACAGATTCAGACATTTCTCTTACTCAGGAACCTAGGCGCTGTATGAGGTGCATGCATGTGAAACATGTGTTTAAAGGAGGGGTGAGCCTATTTAGAAATGACACTTCAACATTTACTCATCAAGGTGTATTAGCTGTTTCATTAAATGCCAAACTGCTCCAAAACTACTTTTGGAGAAAATGAAAATTGCTGTGTGTAGCACGAGTTAGAAATATGTTAACTCTCTGAGTGTTAGCCCAGCAGCTTCATACGGCTTTCCTTTAGATCAGAGTTAGGTAGCACTAGTCTTCGAGGTGGAAAATGTTAAAGCCAGTAGTATAATGTAAATACACACCAAGCCCCTAAATTGTATTTCTTTCATAGTAATGTGAATTTCACTCACCTCTTTCTTCTCTCATTTCAAAAATCAGAGTGCGTCTTCTGGGAGCCTTAGAACACAAGGATGTTCGAAATGTCTTAGTGCAGGGACATATTTTCCTTAATACGTCCCTCACTGAAGCTTTCTGCATGGCGATTGTGGAAGCAGCCAGTTGTGGTTTACAGGTAAAAAGCTTTGGCGGCTGACACTGGTGGGGTTTCTGTACTTGTACTTTGGAAAATATTATTTTAGTGATCATTTTTTAAGTCATTTTGCGTTTTTCCCCTCGAGATACCATAATGATGGATCCTATGTGCTTTATTTCTTTTTAAGGTTGTAAGTACCAGGGTTGGTGGAATTCCTGAGGTACTTCCAGAAGATCTTATTATTTTATGTGAGCCTTCTGTAAAATCTTTATGTCAAGGATTGGAAAAAGCTATTTTTCAACTGAAGTCAGGAGCATTGCCGACTCCAGAAGACATCCACAACATAGTGAAGACTTTCTACACTTGGAGGAATGTTGCAGAGAGAACTGAAAAAGTATGTCACATGCCACAAAAGGGGCATTTGAAATTGGGTCTGAATTGTTACTTGCTCTTTCGTGCATGTCTGCTTTCTCTTGGCTAGGCTTGTCCTATCTGCTGTTGTTTGCATTAGTGTAATCTGCCAATGAAAAGTAATGAGCTAGGTATTGCTTTTGGCACACACTGGGCCAAGTTTCTTGTCACATCATTGCATTTGACCTCCAAAATAGTAGTCACGTAGACTAACCCTGTCCTTACACTGGCTATGAAGAAGGTGCAAAGTTTCCACTTTGGAGACAAAGCTAGTAGGAAGGTCCGCTCCTAGACGTTTCCTTGAGACGGTTGATAATGCTAAAGCACATTGGCCCATGAGAGAATATGTGGATTTGCTTGGTCTGATTGAGCAACTTTAGATCTTGTAAACATTTAATTCAGATTACTTCCTAAAACCTGTGCCACCTTTGCTAATAACTGTGATTTTCTACAGGAAAAGGATTTTGCATATCTGGGCTGATGGACAACATAACAAGTTAGAATTCAAAATGCACGTGACAGATGTTGGAGAAATGATCACACATAAAAAACAGCTGTAGAGAATTTCCAGAAGGATTGGTAGAGGGGCTGGATTAATACCCTTAAGTGGGACAGGACGGTTGTGGGAAATGCTTCCTGATTTCAAATTTGGAACTTAAGTTTATCCCACTTGTCCACCTCATGCTTCCTATTACCATCTTACAAGCTGCATGGAGACTCTGCTTTTTAAGTTATAGAAATTGTGAACTAGAAAGACAGTCATTTGAGAGCAAGGAGAAGGTAACGGTTTAGATGAGTGCTTTATGCTGTCATTGTGTTCAGTGGAGCAGAGAGTAATAAGGAGCTAAGTAGAATAGCTCTTAACTGTAAAGCTTTTTTACTTGGTTGGAATTATCTCTTCCTATATATAAAATGATCCTATATTTGAATATAAGTGCAAACAAATTCTTGTCTAAAACTATTGCATGCAATCCATTTTTCATTGAAATATGAGACATTCCAGTTAACAGTCAGTCAGAGATATTGATTGCAATATCCTTGAGACACTCCCACCTTCTAGAAGATTAGCAGCATCTCCACCGAGATACCATAACTACATTTCCCTCCTTTGCCTTTGGCAGCTGGAGCCTAGCACTGATTATCTGCTGGGGGTGGTGTGCAAGTCACTGCAGTACCCTTTTCAGGATCTTGTCATTCCATAGTCCTGTCTCCCTGCCTCCTCTGTTATTGCCAACCTTCTGCTAGGACCTTTGAGGAGCACAGGGTGGTTTGGGAATGGTGGGCTGGCAGGTGTGGTTAGACAGGTTTTTTTCCCCCAGTGATGCCCACCTTGCTCTCACCCCAGTGGAGAACCACAGCTCTTAAGTTGTGACTTCACCTTCTTGATTGATGTCATGTAGATCTCAGAAGACTGATCTATTGTGGATAACACATTCACGAACAAAGAACTGTGGTGGCAGTCTAGATGAAAATGCTACCAGTTTTCAGCAGTAAGCTTTATTTTGTTTGCCAGTTTGACCTATATTCTCTGCTAACATTTAGCAACACTTGTTAAAGGAGCTAATTAGGATTGCTTTTTAACCACAAATTTTCTTTGAGTTACACTTAAAGTAACAGTAGAGCATCTGAATTTTTTTTTTTTGTCTTACACTCTACGCCAATTAGTAGAATCCATTCAGGAAAAAAGTTAATCCCCATCTGTGATGGATGGACAGTCATCCCTGACATTCTCTTCACAATAGTCAGTTGGTATTTTGCCACTTACAATCTTAAATTTATTGATCTAGAAATAAAGGTGGACAAATGGGTCACTGTGTAGTTGCTCTTTTAACTCTCCTTGTTCGTTCAGGACAATTTCATCCTTTTCAGCTCCTTGGTTTAACTGTACTACTTAGTTGGTGCTGAAAACATACATTTGTGGTTGTAATTCACCAGCTTCAGGAAATCCTGACTCGGAAGCACCCCAGTTGCCCTGGGAGTGGGTGGAAATATAGTGCACCATGGGTCTGTGGAACTGCTCCGCAAATATAACTTTAAGTTCAAAAGGAGTTGGTTTACAGGTCTGATGCGTGAGAGTGAGCACAAGTAACGCTCGAATGCAATTAGTGTTGGCTTGTCTGATGTTTTTGAAAAAAGTATGTTTAAAGATCTTTGTTTTATTTCATATTTCAGGTTAGTGCTTAGCAGTGCTTTAAAAAGCAAGCCACATACTACCAGTCATCAGCAGTAAGCTGCTTTGTTTGCCAGTGTTTGCCCAGGACCATCCACCACCCCCAGCTCTTTCATGCCTCCCTTAATGACCATGTCACTGAACGTTGTTTCAGTCAACAATGACCCACATAGATGGCAGTGGGCCCAGGGGTGCTGAAGGCTGTTGCACATAAGTTTATGCAGTTATGCTCTATGGTGTTCGCACAGTGATGAGATCACCCAAGGAGTCATTTCTCAGGTGTCCCCATTATTAAATGACACATGATTGTACTTGAAACCCATGAACTGTGTGTCTGTACGCTCACCTTCTGTGCCAGGCAGCGCAGCTCCTTCGCACGGCTGTGACAGGAGGAGACGCTCTCCCCAGGAGCACGCGGGATCGTAACGGGCTGTGGTAGACTCTGCCAGACAGCAGTGCGGGCTACCTCAGCCGAGTCAAGGAGTCCTAGAAGGCCGGTCCTGCTTCAGGGAGTCACTATGAGTTAAATGTGGTCTCTACAGAGGCACCCCGAAAATTGATTTCAGTTTCTCAGGGCTTGGAAATCCTGGTACTTAGTTCTAATTGGTGGTGGTCCCCATGGGACAAGAGCCATGGTGCGCCTCTCTATGTGATCTAGCAGGAGCAGCTCCATAAAGTGTGCGTCGAATTAATTACTGTAGTGAATTCATTAATCATACCATTACCATAACAACAAAATGTAAGCGATTTCTGTTTGCGTCTTCGAACGTTCCTGGTCCATGCAGGTGGTGGTTTTTTAGGTCAGAGTGTTCATTCTCGGCCTTTTCCCACCAGGTGTACGACCGCGTGGCCGGGGAAGCTGTGTTACCGATGGACAGAAGGCTGGACATACTCATCTCTCACTGTGGCCCGGTGACAGGCTACATTTTTGCTTTGTTGGCTGTGTTCAACTTTCTCTTCCTCGTTTTCCTGAGATGGATGACTCCAGATTCTGTCATCGATGTTGCAGTAGATGCCACGGGGCCAAAGGGTGCCTGGATGTCTCAATATTCTTACAGGAAAAAAGAGGACGAGAACAGTGAGGGGCCTGACCCCAGCTAGACGGAAGCCTGGATGCAAGAGTTTAGGCCTTTGTAGTCATTCTAGTGAGACTGTGGGAAGTTAACCGTGCTCTTTCTCTTTCTTTTTTTTTTTTTGGAAGTTAATTTAGTAAGTTATGCTACCTCTATATCATTCAGAATTTTATTTTGAGGAAAGATTAAACACTTATGCAATTCCTGAGTGTAGAAACTCCTTGCACTTATTTAAAATTTAGGAGCAGACATTTAAGCCACTCAGGTATGACATTTTTCAGATTACTGAAAATCCTTCTAGCAGAGATGTTTTAACATTATATTTTGGGAGCTTTGGGTGCTGAAGGGCCAAATGTTTTTTAGGCATTTTTTTGGCCAATTTTAAACGTTCTACCATTAATTAGACATTCACCAGATGTTTACAAGTTTTCTTTAGGGAATTACAACCGACTGTATGGACTATTCTAGGTCATGTTCATACACATTTGTTAGACATTTAAGTCATCTTCAACATTTATTGAGAACCCTCAGGAAGTGTTGCCTACGAGCGGCAGGTTTCTTGAGTAAGATGTTCTTTCTGTCAGTTACCAGCACGTTTCAAGCACTACTATGCTGTATAGAACATTGAACGAGGTACTTCCTGCTGTTAAGGACCAGGGGCGCATTTGCTCTTTGTTTACCACTCAGATGGCTCACTTCATCATAGTCATAGTTGACATGAAATGGTCAAAGAACCAACATGCCAAAAATGCTCATGCTTTTATGCCAGGAAGAAATGGCCGGCACTCCGAGACTGCTTCCATCCTGGTTTGCGCGTTCTCCTTGTGAGGGCCTTCCCCTTCGATTGTGTTTATGAGAACACGTTTTGCTTTCTGAATACTAAGGACCGATACCACTGTTGATGATAGCGCAGAGACACCCTTTGCATCTTCTAGTGCATAATTTCGTCCTCTGTAAATGCCTTCGTGTTTTCCGAGCAGAATGTATGAGGTGTGCCATCTCAAATTCAGCTGCTACCCTACACTTTGATAGAAGTCATTTCCCTTCACTTGTGGCCTAGCTTGTGTCTGATAAGTATTGTCAGTGTGCAGAAGTCTCCACCCCAGAATGTGTTATTTATAGCAGATTGAGTCAGAATATTTTAGAGACAGTCTCTTTGTGAGTGGATGTTGTTAACTGTAATTGTTGCCCAGAGCCATGGGTTTTTAAACCCCAAATTATCCACATGCTATGTGTTATTCTTTCAACTTCTGAGAATGTCTTTTGTGATAAAGGACTGTGAAATCCAATGAAAGAGGCACTTGTTGTGGGTGCACTAGGTAGATTCTGGCAGTATTGTGATTCTGTGCAGGACTTTTTTTGTTTTTTAATGACAACATTCACCAAACTTTTTACTTCTTACAAAAGTATCTTAACATGCCTATTAACCACTTGCCACTGAAATATAAGAAATAGATTTGTGTTTTGTTTGTATCAAAACATAAATGCAAGAGTGCAGTTTTTTAAAACTAGAAGTGGGGGTTCTTTTGTTGAAGAAAAATGGACTAATCCAAATCACTAAATCTTACTGGGATTTTTATGCATAGGAACTGATTTATATGAATATGAAATAAACAGTGCCAATATTCATGAAACAGCAGGAAACTAACATTTGGTTTTACTTATTCACCAATTTTTAAAGGCATACTAGGATTTTTGGGTGCATTTTTGTTTCTTAGCAAATTAAAGAAAAATTGTCATTTAATTTTTTTTATTTACTTCAGTTGGAAATGGTATTGAAAGTTGCTCTTGCATGTAACATAAATAATTTGAAAATTAAAGTTATTTCTCTTGTTTTTTTCTTAACAGATGAAGGTAAATTTGCTTGTTCTAATAAAAATTCATTTTCAGCCTTCCTGGATACCTTAATTGTAACTGTCAGTGTTGCACTGGTCAATATGTGAAAACATATTGTTCTGCCCTGCTACTTAACTTTTATCTGAAAGTGAACTTGCAGTGATGAGGAATTTGCAAAAAATATATATTGCATTTTGAAGTTATTACAAGTAGCACATGTTAAACTGATTTATGAAAACATGCTACATGTCCAAAAATAAAGACCAAAATGATGTTTTGACAATTTTCTGAGTTTGTCTTGTTTTACGAATGGAATACAGATATTCACTGCTTTTGAAAGTTCTTTTCCTAAATGAGCCCTTGCTTTTCCTGCACTCAGGTTGTCCTATGAGCCAGATGAATACATCTATAAACTACTACTGTGTATGTGAATTATGTAATTGTGCGTCCTGGCTTGTCAGCTATTTTAAGAGAAATTTGAATTTTGACTTCATTTACAGAATCGCAGCTTATCTCACCCCTTTTGTTGAAAACAGTGGGAGGTGGTCCCCTCGTTGATAGATTCTAAGGGAGCTTCTACCAGAACTTGTTTTTGACAAAATCGAGCTATCTTAGATCTGTGCTTATTTTCGTGAAGTATTTTCAAAGGGCTGTGAAGCTCTGCATTCCGGAAAGAATATGGCTAGATGTTACATTGTATCCTATGGCTAGAATTTTTATGTGAAGGTCTGAAAATTAAAATCTGTAAGAATTAGATTTGTGTTCAGCAGTACTTTGAGGAATTGGTTCCCCTTTTCCTCCTCATTTATGTTTGGCTCCGGCCCAGTGGTTCTCACCGGGGTGTGGTTGTGTACGTGTGTGCGGGGCGGCTTCGGTCTGGCAGTAGGGACATCTAGTGATTCTTGGCAACTGTTGGGAGTGGAGCATTGATATCAAGTGTGCACAGGTTAGGGATGTTGCTAAATACCCTGCAAAGCTTTTGAACAACCCCCCGCAACAAAGAATTATCTGGTCCAAAGTATCAACGGTGCCAAGGCTGAAAAGGCCTGGAACTGTAGATGATGTCATTGTCTGTATGAGACTCGAGTTGACTCCTTGTTCTGGTAACTTTTACGCCATCTCAAATGTATTGCTCACTGTAGTAGAAGACAGTCTGTCAGAAATAGTGCACTAGCCATTTGAACCTTAAAAATGTTGAGCTGCTCGGCAAACTTTCCTGGTATGTAAAACATAAAAAGACAGCCATGTTTTAAGTGAAAATTACCCAAAACAAGATTGAATAAGGTTAGATAACATGTATATCAGTGGGCTGACAGCAGTAAGTGATCACCTCTTAGAGTACAATGGAAGAGACTGGAAAAGAGCTAAAATACTTGTGTTCATTTTCTTTTGTACATCGGTACTGTGGTGGGTAATCTACGCTTGGTAAAGTAAATGCTGTAGGTTAACAACCTGTCCTGAGAACGGAAACGATCTCAGTGTGCTGTGACACTTGGGAATGGATGCGATATGCATTGTGGCTCAAGGGGTCGGCCTCTGAACAGAGTACTGGGAAACAGTACTTACGTTGGTAGTCATTCATATTTTTGCATGAAGCAGGTATTAGATAAGACTTGCTTAGTTTGCTCTTAAAGTTTTTATTTTGGCTTGTCTTTTACAATAGGTTGTATGCAGAAATTGAGACAGGCTAATATAGCCAAGAATGATAAAGGAGACCTAGATATTCCTAGGCGGGGAAATTTTAACTACCCTAGTTTCACTTGTGTTGCGCATTGCTGATGCACGTCAAACAGTTTGGATAGAAGAGAGTATTGCCCAACTCGGAGTGGTCCTGAGTCAGAATTGGGTACTTCACTCAGAACCATCGTGTTCACCCATTTCATTATGATTCTTCCATGATTAAGGGTAATCCCCCACTTTCCAGTAAGGAGCACCCCCTTTACTGACACTTGAAATGCGAAGTGAGTGATCAGGAACTTTATTAGGGGACCCTGTGACCAGATGAAAGATGACAACAGGTGATCTAATGCTGCCACCTGGAGAGGACCCATAGTGGGCCTCTTATTAAACACTACCTTAGAGGAAATGGTCCTTTAAAACTACTCATGGTTTAGATTTGCGCTTTATTTTACAGAAACCTCAGAATGAAGAGAAAATGAAATGTTCCAGGGACTCGTACTTCCCACAAGAGTATAGTCTGTATTTGTACTTCTTTGTCCGTACCTCAAATAACTTGCTTTGTCTACATGGGGTCTGAGAAGTTTATCGTTCCAGTCCTACCTCTCAACATAATGTAAGCAAAATTGGGGTTTAGGAATGAAAGAAGGTGTGGACGTGAAGACTATTTGTTAAATAACATAGTATGGAATGTAGGTTTAGAACTACTGGGTATTTCGGATTAGAAAGAGCACCTGCACCCCTATGTTTATAGCAGCACTATTCACAATAGCTAAGCAACCCAAATGCCCAAAAATAGATGATTGGATCAAGAAGAGGTGGTACATATACACCATGGAATATTACTCAGCAATCAAAAAAGATAAACATATGCAATTTGCAGCAACATGGATGGCGCTGGAAGGGATCATGCTCAGCGAAATAAGCCAGAAAGGAAAAGACAAATACTGGATGATCTCACTCATAGCAGGAATCTAGAAAACCTAAATAAGGGACCAGGAAAAAGAATAACTATAAGAAAGAAAATATCAAAATCAAACAACTATGAACCAGAGACACTCTATGGGGGGTGGGGGGCAGGAAAAGGAGGGCTTGGGGTCAAAATAAGGGGGTTGTAATTGGGGAATATAAAAATAAAATTAAAAAAAAAGAAGTTTCTTCAGTTCTAATATTGCCACGAGTGTCCGCGCATACAATTGCCAAATCACAGTCAGCTTAGAGTCTACACACAGAGTTCTCCGTAACAGGAGCACGAAGGGCTAGAGGTTTTAAATAGATATCATATGATACCAATTATAACTTGGTGCAAGTTTGCAATCCTGAGCACCTAAACAGAGTGTCAGCCAAAATGGAGGACGGTCCTGTTTTCTATGGCTTTAAAAACATTTTTATTACAATGTTTGCTACTTTTTTTTTCTTCAAGCTCTTAATTAAGGTGTTTTTGGCACTCCTAACCCATTTCTATATCGTCAAAGGAAATAGAAAAGAAGCAGCTAGGATAGCAGAAGAGATCTATGGTGGAATTTCAGGTAAAAATATATGAATTTATTTCCAATACCCCCCAAAACCCCGGTAATTCACAGGAGGCATGTTTCTAGAAGGTTTTTACATTTATAGTTTAGTTTTTTGGGGTAGTTTTTTTAAAAAAAAATTAAAGTAGCAATGTGATGTTGATCATAGTAGTTGGTGAAGGATTTTCAGCTTTAATTTTTATAAGTTGGTAGTTCTATTAGCAATCATCATCTAAGAAGTAAATAGTGATTAGATTCTAAGACTATTTTGAGAAACCTCATTTCTACTAACCAAAGGAATAATTGTATAAGGGTTATTTAATATTTTTAGCCAAATGTTAACAATGCATTCTAACAAGACTATTTCCTCAGGAAATAGAATGACCGATACCTTTGATTTAAAGCAGCAATTGTGACATATTTTAGTGCTGTCATTTACAATTCGAATTGATTAGTTATTTGTCCCAGTGAGGAAAATCCTTCACTAAACCTATTTACACAGCGCCCTGCAAAGCGCGAAAACAAAGGTTATTGTAATAGGAAGCACCAACATTAGGGTAAAATCTCGTGTTTTATAGAAATTCATGTGCATGCAAGATGCTACAAAAGTGAGTCAGATATCCTTGTTATGCTGGGATTGTCACTTGATAGAGAAGTATTTGTTCATAAACAGAGTTGAGAATTCCCTATGTATTTTTAGTGTTCTTAGGGGTTCCAGGATTACATCATTCTTTATCTAGTATCTGTTTCAGCCAATCTTGCATCCAAGATTCTCTTTCAAAATACTTATACTATGTGATTCCAATACACTAGACAACTTTGAAGACATTAGACAACAGCTGTCTTACCCAAAGAAATAAGACCTAAAGACGAGGCGTCCGAATGCTGCAGTTAGCTGGGGAAAATGAGAAGAGTCTTGACGTTTCAGAAGGTGTCGGGAGGCCTGGACTGTGGAAGGCAGTTTCTTTTGGGGATTACATTTGTCACACATTTCAGGGAGGTATGTGGCCTTAGACTGGTGTGTTTTTGTTTTTATATGTTTCTCTTTAGTTTCAAGTTAAACAAGGTCTGAAAAGCTGTTTTCTAATTTAACATGTAAATAAATCTTTGCCAGGGCCTTCTGGAAGTTTTAGTAACATAGTTTGGATGTTTGCCTGGATTTATCATCCTCATGGTTTAAATTAGGTCAAGGCTAACCAAGTCAATATTGGTAAGAGTGTGTTAAAATGTTTTCTCCAGCTACTAGTGTGCGTTCTTTGTTTTTGTCTTTTTTTTTTTTTTAAAGATTTATTTATTTATGCATACAAGAACTGGGGTACAGGCCAGAGGTGTGTGTGTGGGGGCTGGGGGGTGAGAGCATTCACCAGAGACAGAGTGGGGAACAGAACAGGCAGACTGACTGAAATACACTGCTTGAGGGGAGCAGCGGGCGAGTCAGGAGAGGTCTGCTGGGCCATGTGGGTTGCTCCCTGGCCAGCTGGGGATCGATATCTTCATAGATTGCGTCTAAACCCCTTGCACCACCAGGGAGGCCCTGTTTTTGTCTTCTTAATGAAATGCACTCTTGAAAAGCTTTTCTAATAGTCAAAACCTATGTTAAGCATGGTTTGAATTAAAATCTGGAGCCATAATACAAATCTCTTAAATAGAGCTTTTTCATTCTTTAGCTCAACTGTCTGTACTTACTCAAATTCTTAGGATAATACTCATTTAATTTGCAAGTAGCGGTGTTACAAGGTCAAAATTGTGTTTTTCAATTTTCCTTAACAAGATACAGCAGGAGAAGAGTGCAGTCAATTTCTTGGCTTTGTTTCCTGTCAGTATAGAGGTAGATGTACATACATATCTATATGTCTATAAGTGTGTATGGACACATATACCCACACACGTAGAATAAAGAGTATATTCAGATTTGGTAAATAAGGCTTTCTAGAATAACATAAGTATTAATATGCCAGAAACAGTGGTGTTCACATGATTCTAACTGCGTTTTTGGGGACACCATTAATAGTCAGATACTATGTACTGAAGGTAGGCATCAAAAATTAAGAAAATTTTTTGTAATTAGCCAAGCAATTACCTTTGCAGCTAACAGGTCAGACAGATATTTGGGGGGAAATAAGTGACATTTAATTAGTAAGTTAGCGGGCCGCCCTGGTGGCGCAGGCCGTTGAGCACCGCACCGTGAAGCTGTCTGCAGTCTCTGCAGTGCGGGTTCAATCCCGGCCGGCCAGCGAGAATCCCACATGGCGCGGCAGACCTCTCCTGTCTCGCCTGCTGCTCCCCACAGCAGTGTATTTTCGTTGGCTGCCTGTTCTGCTCCCTGCTCTGCCTCTGGTGAACCCTCTCACCCTCTCCGCGCCTGTGGCCTGTATCCCAGCTCTTGTATAAAAATAAATAAATCTTTAAAAAAAGTAATTACTAAATTAGCAGTTGGCTTACAAAATTGCACCCAAAGGTTATTTTTCTTGATTTGATGGCATATTATGTTTTATAAACTATCACCACTGCCGTGAAAAATGAAGGCAAGGCAGTATAAAACTCAGGGCAGAGCTGAGTGGCACAGGCCGCAGGCAGTAGCTCTTTGGGAAGCTGTAGCACCGCACCCCTCATTAAGTATCTTCATTTTTTTTTTTTTTTTTTTGGCTATTATGTCTTTGGAACTTTTTTGTTTTGAAATTTCATATTCTGAAAAACATTGTTCCATATTCTTTGTGGTTTAAACTATTACATTTGTAGATGACTCATCAGTATTGAGTCAAACGATGGTTGACTGTTTTGATTTTTCGGACTTTTTTATGTGTTGTTAAGAAAGTATCTGTATCTTCAAGTTGGGAGCTGTCATTGGTCCTCGGCTTGCATTTAAGGGCACCACGTGGATGTCCAGATCTTGTGTTGAGCTTGTAGGTATTTCTATAGAGGGATGTGGTATATGATTTGCAACCTTTGCTAATTTAGTCCCATTTGAAGCTCTGCTTAGTACCATGACTCTACTTAGTCATCAGACTTGATGGGAATAAAGTGTAGATATAGACTGAGAAGCTGTTATCCGCAGCCCTGGGCCAGATGTGCCCCAGGATCAGGAGTTTGGGGGTAGTGGGAAGAGGACACCTTATGTAGGCTGTCACACAGCGCTCCTCCCTTCCCTGGGCATTTTGATATTTCCATAGTGAAGGTGCAAATATTCACACTAAGGGAAATTCCAAATAAGCGTAATAAATTGATGAACCTGAGTCCTGACCGTGTTTTGCTGCCAAAGGAGTTTGTATTAAACTTGGAAAAAGCTGGTTTTCCGAATTTGCAGGATTTTACAATGGCAGATAGGAATGTGACCTTTTTTTTTTTTTTAAAAAAAAATGGCTGTTTTAAGTCTAATTAACTTAACTAGCTAAGTGGTTCTAATTGTTACACTTAAACTCAGTTGTCTTCGTGGCTGTAAAATCAAAGGACTGACTTGCCTTGGTGGCCACACCTCTGCTGACTCATCCTCCTGACTCCTCCTCCCTGTCCTTCCCTTTGGACAGGATTTTCCTGTCTTTGGCCCTTTCTTGCCCAGCCCTCTACTTAGCCTCGTTCAGTGGCACCGGTTGTCTCCTCAAGCCTTGGCACAAGCTTCCTCTGACTGGTTACCTAACTCAGGTGCCTGCTGGCTTTCCCCAGCTAGCCAACCAGTCCTCTGCAGGGTCGCTGTCGCCCACCCCACCTGTCCCCCTAGTCTGCTGGTCCTCCTGGAGCCACAGGAGCCCTCTTCCTAACACACTGTGAAGAGACACCCCCTGTTTCCTCTCCAGACAGGGACTGAGCATCCTGCAGCATGTGCATTTTAGCTCACTGTTATTCTCATATTCTAGATAACTCGGGGAGTGACTCTCCTGGGGTTAGGCCCATTTACCTTTGTTTTCCTTAAAATATCATTTGTCGTACTAGGCTCTCGCCTGTATTCAAGTTCAAAATTGAAATTCCTTTTGACTTTTCTTTGATCAGTGCTCCAGAAGATACTGCTTCATATGATTTGGGGGACTTGAGTGAAGAGAATCATGTATGCTAGAGATTATAACCAGTTCGTTGGTGTTTTTTTTTTTTTTAAACCCATAATATCAAATACTTAGTAGAATCAGGAAGGGTAGTAACTGCAAATTTTAAAAAATAATAATTGATTTTTCATCTTGAATACTTAGAACTCAGGCAACTGTATTCCATCTGAACCAATTGTGTTATTGAAATCTGTGATTTTAGAAGTTGTTACGAAATTGTTATTCAAAGAGCCCGAAAACTAGAAATATGAATGACATTCTGAGAAAAAGTCACAGGGGGAATGAGAAAGGACTGGAACACTTTCCGTCCACCTCATCAGGAGCAAGTAGACATATTTGTGGAGAAAATATCTTCATACTGTGCTCGCAGCCCTGTGACACAGGCAGTCCGCCAAATAACTAAAAATAAACTGCCTTCGAAGAGAACGATCGATTCCTACTTAAGCATTCGTTTATTTGGAGAGCTCAGTTGCATATTTCCTGAAAGGAATGGAAAAAGTCCCTCGCTGCCAAATAACTTTTAGCCTACAATTAGCTCCAATTTGCAAAACAACAGTGGGAAGCCTGAGAGACTGCGTGCTGGCAATAAGAATCTAAAACCACACCAGCCCACCCTGGTGGGGATTCTGGAAAGGGGGTTTGTGGGAAAAGCCTTCAAGGTCCTCTGAAGCAAGGGCTGAAAGCTGTGACTGGAAAGTTACTGCCCTGAGAGTGGCTTTGTGTCCAGTTGGGAAACAAAAGCGTTTCCACACAGAAGGTGATGCAACGGGTCTCTTTCACGCTGTGTCTGGAGGTGAAGAGGAGGTAGTCAGGCTGTCTCCTGAGGAAACCTACCGGGACAGGCAGATTTTAGATCCGGTCACTCTTCCAACCCAAGCAGCCTGTGTTGTGAAGCCTCCCAAACTTGGATTTCAGTCCCATTTCTGCCACCATCTAGAAGCGAGACCTCGTCGTGTGGGGCTGAGGGCTGGTCGTTCATTTGGGAGGCATTCCCCTTCATGAAATGGTGCGCGTCCCTTCCCTCCTGTCTTGAGAGCCAAGGGATGGGGCTCCATACAAGTTTGGATAAAGGGCGCACCTGGAAGGAGGGGAGCCTGGCATTTTCGCTCATGTTGCAGTCTGCTCAGGCAGACAGCTTCCTGAGCTGCCCCGGTGCTCCTCGAACGAGAGGAAAGAATTGGAAGACTGTGGTGAGGGAGAGGCCCAGGATGACTCACTGTTGCCTCTTTCTGGTGGATTGGAAATGGCCCCACCAGCTTGCAGAGACCTCAGAAGCGTGGGGTGGGAGGTGGGGATGTCAGAGGATGCTGTCTTGATGGGGGGACCCTAGGAGGAGTGACCAAATGCCGGCGCCTGGGCAACGGGCCTGGCAGTGAGCCCTGGTGCAGGGGCAGGCTGGCAGAACTGGAGTGAGCCTGCCGTCGAGACCAAGCCAGCAGCACTGACCACCCTACTGACCTCTTCCAGCGAGCGAGGGCGACATCTCCCCTGCAGCGACATCTCTCTGCTGCGGCTTCTCCCCTCTCTGCAGAGTTGGCCCCTGAGCAAGTAATGTGGGGACCTGTGTGCAGAACACACGGATCTGCCGCTAGCTGCTCGGAGGGCCATACCCAGCCCTGCGTGGGTGATGTCAGTCTAGACCAGGGCACAAACCCTAAGCAAACAGGGAAAGTTTCACAAACCAACCTCACTCAGGTCCCGGCTCCCAAGAGTGAGAAACTGCCTCTGTCAGCACAGTTCCTGCTGTGCCCCCGTCCCATCAGCCCCCCGCCCTTTTGTGACTTCTAATCCCAAGGTGAGTTCAGCTTCCTTGTGCTCTCAACAGCTGGAATCCCACAGCACATGCTCTTTTGTGTCTCACTTCCTTCGACCCACATGAGGTTTGTGGGGTCCAGCCAGGCTGTGTGGACGGGGTGGGTGTTACAGGACTGATGAGTAGAAAGAGGACGAAGATGAGTTAAGGGCTCTGCTTCCCTGGAGAAAAGGAGACACCACCCCCCACTTGGAGGCAGGCTTTAGGAATGATGCGGCCATTTCGGTTGATATTCTAAGTCAATAATAGGTTGCCACTTAAATCTTGCTCTTACCTTTAAATCATCAAGTACGTCTCGGACCTCCAGGCGACTCGGGGGGTCTGGCTGTCGTTAGAACAAAAGACTGTTTGCCGCCCGCAGTGGTTGGGGACTGAGCTGGTCTCCATGGGTCACCTGTGGGTGGAGAAGGTCCCTGCAACCCTAGTGCCAGCGTCCAGCTTCAAGAGCGATTAGGCCACAGGACCACGTGTCTGATGCTCGCTTCATACCGAGTGAGGTGGAGATGTACTCGCAGGAACCCGGGGCTGACCAATGGCGGATTCCGTGCCTACATCGTCCCACCTCATGCAAATTATAAATGTTCGGGAGACTTATTTATTTAAAGATTTATTTATTTATTTATACAAGCACTGGGTACAGTCAGAAGTGCAGGAGGGTGAGAGAATTCACCAGAGCCAGAACGGGGAGCAGAACAGGCAGAAGGACCGAAGCACACTGCTGAGGGGAGCAGCGGGCGGCAGGAGAGGTCTACGCGCCATGTGGGACCCTCGCTGGAGGCCGGGGATCGAACCGGCGCTGCAGAGGCTGCGGGTAGCTTCGCAGCCCAGCGCTCAACCTCTGCGCCACCAGGGGAGGCCCTTTTCGGGAGATTTAAAATGACCCCACTCATCAACTTTTAACTGATCCAGGAACAAGGGGAGCTACAGATGATATATTTTCATGTTAAAATGGTATCTGTTTTCCCTACTCAGGTCAGGAGTATGCAGTTGCCATCTGTGTATACACATTTTTTATTTGGGAGCTAAGTTCTAAAAAACGACAAGAGCAGTACCAAGATTCCCACTTCTCTTCACCCAGAAACCTCTTTCATGTTTACGCAGCTGTGCTAACGACGTGCTTGGTAGCCAGAAGATCCAACCCAGTGCACGTCGTCACCTTAGATGTGTCTGCTCACCCTCCTTCAACCTGGAACAGTTCCTCAGCCCCTCCTTGAGCGGGTTCCAGAAGAATGTACCTCCGCCTCAGTGGGTTCACAGTGTCCTCATGATTAGATCTGGGCTATGCCTCGGAGCAGGAATCTCACAGAAGCCATCGTGTGTTCTTTCCATCCAGCTCGCTCCGGGAGTACATGGTGTTGCTCATCGCGTTCCGTCCCACGTCCCACGGCACACTCTGTTCATCGCCTCTGAAGTTAACTTTGATCTCTTGGGGAAGGGGGTGTCTACAATTTTGTTCCGCTGTAAAATTACCCCCGCTCCCTTGATAGTTAATAATTATTTGGTGGGGAGATAATTTGACATAAATTCTATTTCTTCATTTCTCAATTGGCATTCTATGGGGAAGAGTGTTCTCTTCTTGCTATTTATATATTCGTTTATATCAGTGAGGTCTTAGGGATCCCATTTTATTTGCTAGGATGTACTATCTCTTACTACCATTATTTATTTTGATGTGCAAATTCTCTGATATTTGGCGAAGCCCCTTCAGACCAGCTTCTGTGTCTTTTTGACATTGTTTATTGAGCACTTCTTTACTTTCTGGCAAGATGCCTGAGCCGTATCTCATGTTTTGCCTGAATCAGCCCCCTGGAATCAGGGATTTCTGCAAGGAGCCCTGGTTTAGGTTTTCCCAGTGCCGGTGCTCCAGTTTCTGCCCAACACTGCACAGTCCGTTCTAGCTTCTCCCTTTTTCATAGCTCAAAGGACTAGAGAAGATGAAATTTGAGTTTCAAGGTAAGAAGACATTTTATGGAAATGTCTCTAGTCCTGAGCCTCATCCACTGGAAAGTCCATGCTCTCCTTGAGGCTTCGGGCTATGTCAAGTTCCCTTGCTTCCGTCTTTGGCCTGGTTGCGGCCCAGGCTGCAGGTGTGGGGAATGTGGAACACCATCAATCCAGATTGCATGGCCCGCTATTCAGTGTAGGAAAAGCACAGTTACCATCGAAGAATTGCCTACAGCTTACACACTGGAGCAGGTTTTCTTCCAAAGCAAATGATTGCCCTTTGGCTTGTTTACTAGAGGGTTACTTCTCAAATGCCCACTTAAGCTGGTAAGTCTTGTTTACTGAAAAGAAAAGTAAGACAGTTTGTAAGACAGTTCTGAGGCTGCCGCCAGAGCACTGCCCGACCATGTGTATTTACTAATAATCACAAATGGCTTGAGGACCTAACACCACCCACCGGTGCTTTCGTGACGCGCCGAGAGGCCAGAGCACGGGCCCAACACTGGGCTCTTGTGCCCCCGTCTTAGAGGTCGCTCAGGTGTATTCAGAGTCTTGCTCGTTTGGGCAGAGAAAGCCGTGGGACTCCACTGGCTCCAGGCCCAGCCATCACTCTCAAGTGCCCACAAAACAAGTTTTGGAGGATTATGTCACTTTTCAAATAACCTCCTGCATTATGATAATAGATGTGCTTCGCTACCAAAGCGAAGCTGCCAATTCCATGGGGCCTTCAGAACGAAACTCTGCCCTGCTCCACTCGCATTTCCTCATGACGGAAGGATGTCAACTCTTAGGTGGAGGTGAGCAGAGAGGCAGGGAGGGGAGTGACGGAAGTGGGGAAGTTCACGAACCAGTTTTGCCTTCATGTTGCCTTATTTAGAGCTGTCAGGTTCAAGCACTGAGCAGTGTTTATTTGAACTGAATCTATGGCTGACTTAAAGGGCCTCTGGGCCAGGGAAGTTGTTTATGCTTCCTCTCAGACTAATAGGCTGGCTGGGCGCTCAGGGGCCTCTCACCCTGTCAGGGGCCAAGGAGAGAGCCTGATGGGGCTCCCCTCTTTCCCCAAACCTCCTGTCACAGTGGGTGGGCAGCATGAACAAGCTGCGGAAGCAGATTCCAGACCTTGACACCAAACTTGATTTGTGTTTCAGACTGCTGGGCTGACCGATCCCCGCTTCATGAAGCCGCAGCCCAGGGACGCTTACTGGCCCTTAAAACTTTAATTGCTCAAGTAAGTAAATGGGAGACTCGCTCCTTTGTGCTTCTGCGATAATCAGGCTTCACTCTTGTCAGCTACGACCGTAGCTGAGGACTTGCCTGTCTCCTCTGGGTCCCAGCCAGGCCCTTCTAGGCCTCTATTGTATTTCTTCCTCCTGCCTGTCCTTTCTTGGGGGGGTGGCTGGTCTTCAGTTCCATCCTTCCCTTCCTGGGCCTTCCTTTACCTCATGGAAAGTCTCCCTGTGAGGGGGTGGGGAATGCCCTCAAATTTATGTTCACTAACTCACCTTATACTCTCCCAATCTGCCTTAGTAATGGCAGTCCTGAAATTGCATTAGTCAACTATTGCTGTGTAATAGATCACCTCAAAACATGGTCATCAAAAACAATAGTATCACAGTTTCTGTGGAGCAAGTTGCAGCTTGGCTGGGTGGTTCTGGCTCAGTCTCCCGCGGGCCGCAAAATATTGGCCAAGCTTCAGTTGGCTCATAGCTCGAATGTGGAGGATCTGCTTTCGACCTTATTCACACGGCTGTTGCCAGATTCACTTCCTCACCACACGGGCCCCCACAGGGCTGTGTCATGAGATGGCAGCTGGCTTCCCCCGGAGAGAGGATGAGACGTCACAGTCTCTTTATAACCTAATTTCTGAAGTGACAACCCATTAGATGTGAGTTGAAAAACTCTAGCACACCCTCCAGGGGTGGGGACTACATGGGTGAGCCAATGCAGGCATAGCTCGTTTAATTGGCTCCCAAAGATATTGTCTATTTTACAAATGGCAACCCTACATTAAGCACGTCTTCAGCGCCAATTTTTGACCAGGCTCAGATGATGCTTAGCATTTTTTAGAAATAAATTTTTTTAAATGAAGCCTATACATTGTTTTTTTAAAACATCATGCTATTGCCCACTTAATAGACTACTGTACAGTGTAGACAACTCATATATGCTGACTGCGAAGCCACAAAATTTGTGACTCTTTTTATTGCAATACTTGATTTGTGTGGTGCCCTGGCCGCCACCTCGAACTGTGTCTACGGTGTGCCTGCACCAGGAATCAAGGGTCACTGGGAACCGTCTTAGAGGTCCCCCACCCAGTGAGCCAATCTTTCAAGAGCCAGCATTAAAATAGGCTGAGAGCTGGGTAAACTTGCGTCATTTGGGAAGACTGAGTAAAGTCTTGGCTATTAAGGTTACTTGATTTTTAAGCCTGTCTCCCTGGCATCTTGAATAATAAAGAGTGGCTTCTTAAATACTTCTGCAGTGCATGAAAGAAAGCATGCATGAGTCGTTTGCTCTGCTTTAGGGTCTCCATGTTTGCAGAAGCGATGAGTCATTATGTCCTTTGCCACATCCTACCTACCGCCACACTTTTCCACTGTTTGGAATTGAAGCAACTGGACTCACTGCTCTGTGTGATTTTTTTTGCTGTCTCCTTTCTGAATTGTGTTACTTCTTAAGAAAGTAGAGACAAAAGGAGAACAGCAAAGCTCAAATGGCCTCCAGCCCTGGTAATGTTGCGGGGTGATTGATTTTTAGGTCCTTAAAATTTGATGTGATTATTTTTATGTGCGGTTTTTTTTAAAGATTTCTTTATTTATTTATACAAGCGCTGGGCACAGTCAGAAGCGCGCGGGAGGGTGAGCAAATTCACCAGAGCCAGAGCGGGGAGCAGAACAGGCAGAAGGACCGAAGGACACTGCTGAGGGGAGCAGCGGGCGGCAGGAGAGGTCTGCGCGCCATGTGGGACCCTCCTCCGGTGGCCGGGGAGCAGCCAGGGATTGAACCGGCGCTGCAGAGGCTGCCCCGGCAGCTTCGCAACCCAGCGCTCAACCGCTGCGCCACCGGGGAGCCCCGATGTGATTATTTTTTATATGTAATATGTTGTGATTATTTTTTATATGTAATATGTTGTCATAGTTCACGAGTTAAAATGATAACAAAAAGTACACAGTAAAGTGGTTCACACCTACCTCCTCCCTCCAGCCCTCCCACCTCATTACTCTCATTAGTATTTTTACAGACTTAAACGTTTTAACAAACTCTTTGGGAATAATTTTCAAGAAGAGTCGCAAAGATAGTACAGAGCGTTGGGCACATCCTTTACCGAACCCCCTTTATGTTAATATTTTGACACTACTCAAATAACATTGCTGCTACACTATTCACTAAACTACAGATTACAGGGATTTCACCAATTTTTCCACTAATGTCCTTTTTGTCTTGCAGAATCCAGTCCTCGATGCCACGTTACATTTAGCATTTCTTTGTGTCTGACTAGACGTCATAAGCATTGGTTTCTGTAGTCTGCTTACTGTCGGAGGAGCGTTCTTGATGAGGAAGTCCAGCCTTTTCCTACTATATCCCCACTTCGTCACCCTCACACTAGCTAAAAATTTAATGTCCTATTTTTTTTTTTTTTTGCTTTATTTCGCATTAAGATAGTGTGGTGTGCTGTAAGACATTGAACTAAAGCTCAGAAGTTCCTGATTACCACGCTGGCTGTGACTGACAACCGGGGAGAGCCTCAAGTCTTAGTAGTAATTTGAACTTTCTCATCACTGTGAAGGTGACTCCTTTGGCCGGGTTTTCAGGGCTGCCTAGCGTGACGTTTCCATAATTCCTGGGATTCTGTGTTTGCACTGATCAAATTTTTTTCTAGTACGTTGCTGCCATCTTGTGGACTGGTCCGTTTCTTATTTTCTTGAAATCACATATGGGAAAAGAACAGGGAAAAGACTTTCCTGATTCTGTTGGATACCCAATTTGATAGATTTAATACAGCTTTAGAGTAGTGGCCTCATGTTCAGGACGTGGAAAGGAATGGGCCTACGGTGCAGAGAGAGGCCCTCAGATGGAGGGACAGGCAACAGGGGGCTTCCGGGCGACCGGCCACAGCAGGAGTGTGGTCAGCACCAGGGGCGTCTGGCAGGAGTTGGCACTTAGGATTTGGGGTTCATGTACTAAGTTTTGGAAGCCTTCAGCAGGTCAGTTAGGAGGCAGGGAGTCAGAAGCAGATCTCCTAATTCCTTTTGTCCACCAGCATTGCTTTCATTCCTATTGCTCTTATAGCCTTTAACCCCCTTCTCACCAAATTATAGGGTGTGAACGTGAACCTTGTGACAATCAATCGGGTCTCCTCTCTCCACGAAGCATGCCTTGGAGGTCACGTGGCCTGTGCAAAAGCCTTGCTGGAAAACGGAGCCCATGTGAGTGCTGCCCCACCCACACGGGCCTGGCTGCCCAGAGGCCACTGCTAAGGTCTAAAAACAGGAGGTGGAGGAGGATGGGTGTGCTGGGGGTGGCGGTGGGGGGGCATACTCTGAAGAGTATGAATCTCTGAATCATATGCAATGTTGTCAGCCAGTGGCCTCCTTCTAGAAAAGAATGCAGTTTTAAAAAGTGACTAGCTTCTAAAATATGAAACAACACACAAACATCATGCTAGCTTAAAAGGAGACATTGTTATAAAAACATAAGTCAAGTAAGTGAAGTTTAAAGATTCTGTTGTCTTTATTCAACACTTCATGAAATGGTTAGCATCCAGTTTAGGTGATAGAAAGCAGCACCCAGAAGCTGTACAAATGAAAGACTTTTACAGGGAGCAGGAACTAGGAAGTGATACCTGATGAAAACATAGCTTGGTTACTGGGAGGTCATTTTCCTGTAGGGCAAGGCCGAGAGCTGTCAGGTGGAGCCTCCTGCTGATCTGGTGGGTCCTGCTTGGTAGGTTGAAGATTCCATTTCTGGGGAAATCGAAGCTGTAATTAGGCTAAACCTTGGTTTGGCGACAAAGGACTTGGCATGCCAACTCCATCTGGGGACTGTTGTCTTGTTTTTAACAACTTGAACTAAAGTGCTTTGAAAACTGACCTTGGAAAATTGATAGAAAAACTTTAAAGAGAGCACATTTTAAAAGCATGACATTAAAAACACAATTTCTTTAGGAGTCACTGCTGGCATGGGCAGTTTGATATGGGTGATAGTAAACTAAGAAGATTTGTGGCAAGAAAGACAGAACTGTGGGGAATTGTTGGGGAGACTTTACAAGGGTAGATGTTCAGACCTTAGGCTAACTGGTTTTCTAGTATTTCTGGTTCCTATCATGTTTGTCCATGACTGAGGAGGAAGAGGACCCCATTCTATATTAATGGAAAGTGGAAATTGTTGTCGCAAATGTTTGTTCCGTGCTCACTGAGTTCCAGGCAACATTCTGAGTGTCTAGATTTCTCCAGGCACCTGCATAGGAACGCACACTTGGAGACAGTGGTAGAGAAATAGCAAATCCTTGGGCTCTCCTTCTCATCATTAGGTCAATGGAGTGACTGTTCATGGAGCCACACCCCTCTTCAATGCTTGCCGCAGCGGCAGCACTGCCTGTGTCAACTTGCTCCTGGGATTTGGAGCCAAGGCCCAGCTCCAGGCGCACCTGAACTCACCCATCCACGAAGCAGTGAAGAGAGGTAAGCGAGCCATTGCATTGCTCACGAAGCATTGGTGGGCTCGGTCCACCTGAGCCATCAATGGTACAGTGTCGCCGTGGAAGCACCACCCAGATCTTCGCCTGTAGCCTGTGTGACTTCCAAATCCTGTGGCATTCACTCCAGTTTGCCGAAACCTTCAGGAAGTACCCAGGATTGGAGATGGGAGGAAAGAGGGGTATGGAACAGGTGCTTCTAACCTGTCCCATTTCCTGGGGACAGTCTCTGCGCAGGCCTTTCTGGAGGGTTTCCAGCTCTTTGCTGGTATTTTGATGGCAATGGATGCAGCCTTTATGTCTTTGCCCTTACTAGAAAAGAACGGCACAGCGCACCCCCCAACGCCCATAAAACACTAGCTGCTAACATATGATGAAAGTATCTCAAAGTCAAGACTGCTAGTATCTCTAATGGAAAAGTAAACAGGATGACTCTGAGTTGATGTCTTTAAATTAAGGTTCATGGTTATTGAGAAAAAAAGTTGCAACTTTAAAAATCCACATGGTGGAAACCTTAAATCCTGTGTTTTAGTTACTTTTGAAACAAGGGAAAGGAGTACCTTTAAGGGATTTTAAAACTATGTACTTAGGCTAGACAGGAGCAAGAAGATGCCATTGAAAGGTCAAGGCCATTTGTCAAAGGTCACACCCAAAGGGCAACATTTCTTTGTGTCCCAGCAGTGGAGTTACTCTTATGGTGAGATCAGAAATATAATGGCGAGGTTACAGTGCTCTAGCAGAGATCTTTGCTGGTCTAACTGGGGGTGAAAGTCTTTATTTCAAAAGGCAATCATGAAAGATTTGCCCCAGGTTATTCAGCAAGTCTCTTGGTAAGTTTTCAATAGTGGATGACTTTAAATGATACCGAAGACCCAAATCTCAATGTATCAATGCTTTTGATTTCATATACATATGGAATAAACTTTTATTGATGAATAATGGATGTTGGTCATTTCCTAAACTGCAAGTAAGTTTTTTAAATTTAGGGTAATCTATTATTTGTATTTCCATCCAGGCAGTGAAAAATGGATAAATTTGGGAATTGGTTTGAATTATTTAAGTAATTCTGCAGTGCTTGGACGGTTGTTATTGCTGTCATAAACACATGAGTTCACGTGTCTATACATATTTTTCTGTATCATAAAAACTTTTTTTAACACTTTTTTTTAAAAAGATTTATTTATTTATACAAGCACTGGGTATAGTCAGAATCGCGGGAGGGTGAGAGAATTCACCAGAGCCAGAGTGGGGAGCAGAGCAGGCAGAAGGACTGAAGTACATTGCTGAGGGGAGCAGCGGGCACGGCAGGAGAGGTCTGCGCGCCATGTGGGACCCTTGCCAGTGGCCAGGGATCAAACTGTTGCTGCAGAGGCTACGGGTAGCTTCACAGCCCAGCGCTCAACTGCTGCACCACCAGGGGTGCCCCATATAAACATTTTAGCTACCAACATCCACAGAATAAATTAACAAATTCATTTTATTTTAGATACTATTACGTGTTAGTCTTGATTTTTAATATTCAATTTTTTAACCTGAGAATACTTCAATTTAATGTAAAGTAAACTAGGCTCAGTAAACTAGGCTCAAACTAGGCTCAGTTTCTTCTTCTGGAAAAAAGAAAGGCAAGATTTATTAAAAAATGTTTATTGACTCCCTATACTTGCCAGCGTACAGATTAAATATCATTTCTGGATTCTTATAGCTCTAAAGCTCTATGAATAAATTGGGTCCATTTGAATCAATAATCCAAGTATAATATTTACTTCTGTGAACAAATACTTTGACCCCACAAAATCCTTGTTTGTACATTTTAATGCATATTGATACTAATCCAAAATTTGTGATAAATCCAGCAGGCTGGAGATGAAGCTTATTTTTATGTTATCTATAAAGAAAAGGTTGGTTAAGTTAATTAGCGATGATAAATTTTTATTATTTATTAAATTTCATATATTTTTTACATCATTTTTCATTTTTGCACAATTTTTGCATTTTCATCTTGTATAGAACATACTTAAATACCTTTCAGATGTCTCCTTGAGACACTTAAATCTTCAAAGAGAACAGATAGTTTACATTTGCTCTTGAACCAATCTTTCATATGTGGTGTATTCATCAAGGCATCTATTCCTTGGGCGGCCTGTTTGAGGAGTATGCTTGCTTGCACAGTTCTTAGTAATCACTGCTTCTGAAAGGTATTTAAGTATGTCCTATACTTGAGGCTATTAGTTCTCATAGATATCTTCCAGGTTAGCAAAATAAGGGTTTTACAGCCAATCTTCTATGCAGGGATTGGAGCCCTGACTTTTGGGGTAATGCTAGGGTGAGTCATTTACCCCTCTGAGCCTTATAGCCTCCATCTGTTGGCCGGTGTCTTCGTGCTGGAAAGTGATTTCAGCTATGCTGCGTGGAGCCCCTAGCTTAGCTGGAGGTACCTCAAAGGCTGCAAAGCAGAGTGTAGGAGAAAGCAGCATGGGCACACTGTGCCTTTAGTGATTTTATTTTGGGGATTTATACGTAAGATTTCAAAATAAAATTCTATCCCTCCCAAAATCTAGGCTATCAAAAGTCCATTTCAGGGCCTCCCCGGTGGTGCAGCAGTTGAGCGCTGGGTTGCGAAGCTGCCCACAGCCTCTGCAGCCCCGGTTCAATCCCCGGCTGCTCCCCGGCCACCAGAGGAGGGTCCCACATGGCGCGCAGACCTCTCCTGCCGCCCACTGCTCCCCTCAGCAGTGTACTTCAGTCCTTCTGCCTGCTCTGCTCCCCACTCTGGCTCTGGTGAATTCTCTCACCCTCCCGCGCTTCTGACTGTACCCAGTGCTTGTATAAAAACCAACCAACCAAAACAAACAAACAAATAAATAAATAAACATGCCTCTATTAAAAAAAAAAAAAGTCCATTTCAGATCAGCCGTCCTATAGTTCTAGGAACAGTCCATGTTTCCCTTATGTGAGCCTGTCTTCTGTTCCCCCAGGGCATAGAGAGTGCATGGAGATTCTGCTGGCGAATAATGTTAACATCGACCAAGAAGTGCCTCAGCTTGGAACGCCTCTGTATGTGGCCTGCACCTACCAGAGAGTAGACTGTGTGAAGAAACTTCTAGAATTAGGTAACGTCCAGAAATCTTTTCTTGGGAAGACTCCATTAATTTTGATTGATTTTCCATGACTTCAAAGATAAGTTCTCGTCAAGTTGAATAAAATTCTGACAGCATTTGACATTTGTTTAAAACAGAACTTCTCCTGAGAAATGAGTATGTGTTTGACTTCCTTGGATGCTGGCTCCGTTTACCTGGTATGGTTCTCCTGGGTGTTCTCGAGAGACAGCAAAAGTCTTTTTTCCCTTAAGTCCTAGGAGGAAAACATGGATTTCACTGACTCTTTTTGAGTCACATGCCCATCTCTGAATCAATTGTAGTGGCCAAGGGAATACAACGCACTGATTGACTTAGGGTTAGATTGCAGCAACACACCCCCGTTACTGGGCTTCATGGGAAATGTGTGAACTGGCCACCCCAGGGTGTGGTTCCCTTGAGTCAGATCTCAGTGTGATTGTTGGGAGGATGGGGGTGGTGAAAACAACATGCATCTGCCATACTTACTTGAGGGCAATCCTGCGAAGTTACTTAGTCTTTTTTTTTTTTTTTCATTCTAAAAGGCACATAAAGGAACTGAGAATCCAAACCACAGTCAGATATCTTGAACTGCTATTTGGTTAAAGATTCCAAGCTTAGCATGGCCGTAAAGGTGGAGTTGGTAATGAGAGCTTTTCCATAAGAACTTTAATCTCTTTGATCTTGTTGGTCTTTTTTTTTTTTTAAGATTTATTTATTTATACAAGAGCTGGTGTACAGGTCAGAGGCGTGGGAGGGTGAGAGGATTCACCAGAGACAGAGCAGGGAGCAGAGCAGGCAGACGGACCAAAAGCACTGCTGAGGGGAGCTGCGGGCGAGGCAGGAAAGGTCTGCCATGCCATGTGGATATCTCCCTGGCCAGCTGGGACTCGAAGCCATGCTGCAGAGGCTGCGGACAGCTTCACAACACAGCGTTCAACCCGCTGCACCACCGGGGAAACCCTTTTTGGTCTTTCTTATCCCCCATCATCTACTCTCTGCAGCAGTTCAGCCTTTTTTGAACCCCAAATAATGGAACACCAAGTAAACTTAGCTTTGTCCTTGTCAAAAACCAAAATAACCGTGTAAAAGGAGCTGCACGCATTTTTGTGTCCAATAGGAAAGGAAAGCACATATTTAAAATGACTACACTATTCATTTTTTCTCATCAAAATATTTTGAAACAGTCTTAGTAAGTGCTACTGAGGTTCTAGGCTTAAGGCACACGTTGTCAAGGCTGGGTGGAGTATGGCCTGACATGCTGTGCCGTTACCTGTAGCTGCTGTATTTCAGGCTCACAGCACTTCTGCACTAACCTCCTGTTGGCTCGTGGCCCTCTGCTTTTGTTCAGGAGCCAGCGTTGATCACGGTCAGTGGCTGGACACACCCCTCCATGCTGCCGCCCGCCAGTCTAGCGTGGAAGTCATCCACCTGCTAGCCGACTACGGGGCCAGCCTGACATGCCGAAACGCGCAGGGCAAAAATGCACTGGATGTGGCGGCGCCCAAGAGCAGTGTGGAGCAGGCACTCTTACTCCGGGAAGGTAAGGAAGGGCTGGTGTGGGTGGCTTCTGGACACACCTGCTTTCTCTCCTTCCTGTCTCTTCCCTGGGGGGTTCTGACCTTTAGCCTTCTCTCCTGAGTGGGGGCGGCATTGTGGGAGAGGCCAGTCCCAGCATCACTGAGATGGGATGTTACACACTGTGCAGGAGCTCTGGGGTGGAACCCTAGGCTGTACGCCCCCCCAGGCTTCCAGATGATGCTGACACTGCTGATCTGAGGCCACACTTGCAGTGCCGTTGGTCTAGATTATTCCCGAAGTCCATGTCATGAGTGATTGTTCTTTTATTTCAATCTCCACTTGAAGAATTATAAGCTTCCTTCCCAGCTCCCCATTTACAAATACCAGGTACTTTCTAACTATTAGCTGAGAATATGGCTATACTAGCTATGACAGTTCCTCTTCTCATCCCTCAGAAATGTTTCCAGGCCCAGGATTTGTATTTCTTATAGGCATGTTCTCGTGTCCTCCATCTTCATAAATATAGCTGCTTGTTCTAGAAAGACAACGCCAGCTATGTCAGAGTTCACACTCGGCAAGCTTGACAGCTTGTTGCTTTACTGTTTTCTAGAGGGACTTTAGTTGGGAAGCAGGTAGGGAAGCCTTCCATTCTTATTTCCTAGGACTTGAACTAAGGGTGATTGTTTGTTCCTCCAGGTAGCTTTCTGCCATGTGGTTGTGCCTGGCAATATTGACGCAGGCGTTATCAGGCTATTGCATACGCAGGCACCACTTCTCCTGGATGCTGTTACGATAGGAGTTTCTTGGAAAGGAAAACTTTGTGTAGTCTGATGATTACCTAGATCTATGTGAAAAGTTCTTTATTGAGATAGTCAGGTGAGGAAATGCTGGGACATTGCACATGCCCCCTATAACCAGTATTGCAGCCAGAAGCTCATTCAGGGTCAAACAGGGTCTAAATGGGACCCTTGTGAGCATGGAGGGCCCCTCTGAGTGTGAGGGGAAACCTATTGGGCACAGCCTCATGAGCAGCCACGGCCAGGAGGCCCGGGAGCCCAGCGCCCTCCTAACACTGCCTCTCTGATCCTGCAGGCCACCGTCCTGCAGCCACATGCCTGGCTGCGGCCTTGCTCTGCAGCTGTCTCCTGTGTGCTCAGTGCAGCCGGAGGTTTTCCCCTCAGCCAGCACATCACACCCATGGGTGTACGAATGCCACATTAGCTTCAAACCACACGCCTCATTCCTGACTTGCTTCTGATTTGCTTCCTTCGATAGCCGTATATAATTTCCACTGGAGGATCAAATTAAAGAAACGTGCCCGGTCCAGAGGGCCACGTTGCCATCCCTTGTGTGTATTTAGCACCTGCTACCTCATTCTGGAGTTCCCATACAGATCCAGCTTGTCTTAAGCTTTTGGAAAGAGTCAGCCTCTTCCAGTCCTTTGATCTCCCGTTCACGGCACCCCAGCCCACCAGCATGAGGGTCACACCACCTCTCTTTCTTCTCAGGCCCGCCTACTCTTTCCCAGCTCTGCCGCCTGTGTGTCCGGAAGTGCTTGGGCCGAGCTTGTCATCAAAGTGTCCACGAGCTGCACCTGCCAGAGCCCCTGGAGAGATTCCTCCTGTACCGATAGTCCCACTTGTCCATGGAAAGATACCTTGGAAATAATCAGGTTGTTGCCTGCTGTAGCCAACCCCCAGTATAGACACCCAACAGCTAGACTTTCAGTATCTTCAAATGAGCTAAGCCAGTCAGAGTAAATTCCTGATAAACCGGATGCTTGTTGAGTGAAACCACCAGTTAGGTTACTGTTCTCACTAACCAAGGGGCAACCAGAAACCTTTTCATTTTTCACCTCTTGTTAAGAAACTGTAAAACATTAACTGTCAAGTAGAGTGAAAATAATCAGCAACTGTTGATGATTCATGATCTTCTATTACGTAAAGGTCAACATTCTTCATATATAGATACATGTAAATCTGAGTGAATAAGATAATGATGAATATAAATATTCTGACATGTGTTCCTGTTCTAATTCCTTCCTCCTCCCCTTTCTTCTTTCCTTCTGTGAATAAATCTCTGCTATAATTCTGATTTCCCAGTCTTTTTTTTATATGTATCTATATAAGCCAAATACTTTGAAGACTTCATAGTTAATTGAGATTTCTTTACTGACATCGTGGTTGACAAGAGAGATATTGGAAGAGATTAGCTCACCCAAAGGCTGAGGTTTCTTGCTTATCACTTCTGATATTACATGCTGCTCTTCAAAGGAAATCATTCTAGTTTCGAGCAACACTGGGGGCTCCCAACTACTGAACCCACAGACTCCGTTGGGTGAAGATTGCTACCCAGGCATCCATCAGCTTCCTTTCAAAGACAGGAGCCTCAGGGATTTTGAAAACATGACATAGTGATGCCAGTCACCAAGGTGGGTTCAAAGCTGGGTCAGTATCATTTTTGCGAGGGGGGGCCCAAAATAAGCACAGGGGTGTACTCAAAAAGCAGCGTTCTCCTCCCTGGCTCTCTTCTCCTCCCCCCTTCTTCCTGCTAACCACCTCTCCTCTGTCAGCCGCCCTCCCCTCCTTCTTGGGAATTTAGAACATGGAAATTGGATGGATTTTAAATGATTGTAAGTACTACTTGATGGTTCAGTGACCGTAATGTTAGCTTCTAAAGAGAATGTTTTTATTACTTGATCCTAAGATTCATTTCAGACACTTCCCCCCACTGTTTCTCAACTTTTGATTCTCAACTGGGGACAATTTCACCCTACTTCCAGTCCCCACTAGGAAACATTTGGCAAAGAATAGAAACATTTTGGTGTGTGGGGGGGGTGGAGTGGGGGGGGTGGGGGCAAGTAGTAGGGAGGTGAAGGGGGTGATGAATGGGTTGCTACTGACATCTAGTGGGTGGTGGTCAGAGTTGCAGCTAATCATCCTACAGTGGACAGGGTAGCTCCACACAGCAAAGAATTGTTGGTTTCAAATTATCAATAGTGCTGAGATCGAGAAGCACTGTTCTAAGCCTGTGGTATTAAGTAGAGAAGCTACTTAGACACTTGTGGCTCATGAACACATGAAATGTGCCTAATTGAGATGTGCTGTAAAAATAAAATACACATATTTTGAAAATCCATTTAAAAAAAAAGGATGTGAAGTAGTTTCCTAAAGATTCTACTGTTGAGTATACTTTGAAATGGCATTTTGAATATATTAGGCTAGAAGATACCTCCTTCTCTGAGATATCTGAAATATATAAACTCCTGAAGAGTTTTTTTTTGTAAATTGCCTAGGAAGGCAATTTTTATAAATCTTGGGGAAGGCAGGGGGTATTACAGAATCCATGGAAGGAAGTACAATTCAGTCTGCTCCAAATATTAATCTCAGGTGATACATACATTTCAACATCCGAAGAGTTCACCTACACATCAGTAAGAATAACATAGGTTCGCTAATAGGAAATCTAGCAAGAAGAATGACAAAAAGCTTTAAGAAAGGAGGCACACAATAATATAGCCATAAGAAAAGTCCTAAAGATGGACAATGGGCTGAGAGAGGATAGACATGAAAAAGGGCAAGGAACCACTTCACCATCTTACAAGGAAAGTTCAAAGAGAAAAGAGCGAAAGAATTTATCATAGAACATTCTGGAATTGGAGACTTTCTATCTTCAAAGTTTTCTCAAGTGCATTTTTTTGGTCAACCCACATTTTTTTTTTTTTATAAATTTTATTTTATATTCCCCATACAATTGCAACCCCCCCATTCTGACCCCAATCCCTCCCCTCCCGCCCCCCACCCCCCAAAAAGTGTCTCTGGTTCATAGTTTTTTGTTGATTTTGATTTTCACTTTCTTATAGTTATTCATTTTCCTGGTCCCTTATTTAAGTTTTCTAGATTCCTGCTATGAGTGAGACCATCCGGTATTTTTCTTTTTCTTTTTGGCTTATTTCACTGAGCATGATCCCTTCCAGCGCCATCCATGTTGCTGCAAATTGCATGTGTTTATCTTTTTTGAATGCTGAGTAATATTCCATGGTATATATGTACCACATCTTCTTGATCCAGTCATCTATTTTTGGGCATTTGGGCTGTATCCAAAGCTTAGCTATTGTAAACAGTGCTGCTATAAACATAGGGGTGCAGGTGCTCTTTGGAATGGATGTTTCTGTGTCCTTTGGGTAAATACCTAGGAGTGTAATTGCTGGATCCTATGGAAGCTCTATGTTTAGTAGGTCAAGAAATCTCCACACAGCTCTCCATAGTGGTTGGACCAGTTTGCACTCCCACCAACAGTGCAGGAGAGTTCCTTTTTCTCCACACCCTCGCCAACATTTGTTGTTGCTAGTTTTTTTAATATGTGCCATTCTCACTGGTGTAAGATGGTATCTCATGGTAGTTTTGATTTGCATTTCCCTGATTACAAGTGATGTTGAACATTTTTTCATATGCTTGTTGGCCATTTGCATTTCCTCTTCAGAGAAGTTTCTTTTTAGCTCTTCTGCCCATTTTTTGACTGGATTATTTTCTGTGTTGTTGTTGAGTCTCATCAGCTCTTTGCAGATTTTTGTGATCAGTCCTTTATCATTAGTGTTGTGTGCAAAAATGTTCTCCCAGTCAGTGGGATTTCTCTTTGTTTTTGTTATTGTCTCTTTTGCTGTGCAGAAGCTCTTTAATTTGATGTAGTCCCAGCTGTTTATCTTTGCCTTCACTATCACTGCTTTGGGTGATGTATCTGTAAAGATGTCTTTGATGTGCAAATCACGTAGTGTTTCGCCTATATTTCCTTCTATATATTTTATGGTTTCAGGTCTTATGTCTAGTTCTTTAATCCATTTTGAGTTGATTTTTGTGTATGGTGTGAGGTAGTGGTCAAGCTTCATTCTTTTGCATGTAGCAACCCAGTTTTCCCAGCACCATTTATTGAACAAACTTTCTTTGCTCCAATGCATAGTCTTTGCTCCTTTGTCAAAGATTAGTTGACCATAAATCTGTGGGTTTATTTCTGGATTTTCTATTCGATTCCATTGGTCTGTATGTCTGTTCTTGTTCCAATACCATGCAGTTTTGATGATTATGGCTTTGTAGTATAGTTTGAAGTCTGGGAGTGTGATGCCTCCATTCCCTTCTTTCTTTTTCAGGAGAGCTTTGGCAATTCGGGGTTTTTTGTGATTCCATACGAATTTCATCAATAATTGTTCTATTTCTTTGAAGAATGACATTGAAATTTTGATTGGAATAGCATTGAATCTGTATATTGCTTTTGGTAGGATGGCCATTTTAATAATGTTTATTCTTCCAATCCATGAGCAGGGGATGTCTTTCCATTTCTTTGTGTCTTCTTCTATTTCTTTTAACAGTGTTTTATAGTTTTCTTTGTATAGGTCCTTTACCTCTTTTGTTAGATTTATTCCCAAATATTTGATTTTTTTTGTTTCAATAATAAAAGGGATGGTTTTTTTGATTTCTTCTTCTTCAGATTTACTGTTTGTGTATAGGAAGGCTACTGACTTTTGTGTGTTGATTTTGTATCCTGCCACTTTACTGAACTGATTGATGAGTTGAATTAGTTTTTCTGTGGAGTTTTTGGGGTTCTCTATGTATATTATCATATCATCTGCAAATAGTGATAGTTTGACTTCTTCTTTTCCTATTTGGATTCCTTGGATGTCTTTCTCTTGTCTTATTGCTCTGGCTAGGACTTCCAGTATTATATTGAAAAGCAGTGGTGAGAGTGGACATCCTTGTCTTGCTCCAGATCTTAATGGAATTGCTTTCAGCTTTTCACCATTGAGAATGATACTGGCTTCAACCCACATCTTGCTGAATGTCTGAGCTCTCTGTTAAGCTCCAGGGTGACCTAGGATATTCAGTCTGTCTATGACCCCAGAGAACTTGAGAATCCTGCTGTTCCATTCATTTTCGGAAACCGCACACCATGGACTTCAGGAATCATCTGCATGGACCTCCCAATTCTGGTAGGTGTGTGTGTTGGGATGGGGGTGGAGGGAGGGCATTCATACCCTGAACTGAGTCTCAAGAGACTCACCAGAACCTAGTCGTTTGCTTCCAGAAGGATCCGGATGTAGAAGAGATCCAGATCCATGCATCTTGGCGTGCCGACAATGTCTTACAATTTATGTAGATAGGGTTGAACGTAAGACAGTATTTAAACCCCTTCGAGCCCTACATTCTATCGAGCTATAATGAGACCATCAGATGAATCATCTGGTTTATACGAGATGATATTGATTGCTTCTAATGCTAATACAGATGATTTCATTTTTCACAGGATGTGGGATGTTTTATTTTCAAAATGCTTTAGGATAACTTCATTTATTCAGTATGTTTTTACCCAGTATTTCTTATGTGCCAGATATTTTTTAAGGCTGTGAAAAAGATAGATGAGGTCCTTATGCTGGGAAAGCTCATGTGTTAGTGGCGCCTATGAGGAATAAGCAAACACACATCTATATCATCACGTCAGAAATGATAAAAAGAAAAATAAAGCAGATTGGGGTAAAGGGTGACGGTGAGGGCTACTGTTTTAGATAAGGTGACTTCGCAAGGTCCCTAGCAAGGTGACTGAATTTAAAAAGAACTATTCATGGATATAGCTAATATTTGTTGCTTTTTACTGTTAAGGATTTAGTGACTTTTTTTCAGTACATCATGGTTTTTAAACATTTCTTTCCCTGATTTAATGTAGTGATTCTGTTATAAAAGTCTTTTTGACCCTGCTTTTCCCACAAGCCATACTGCAATGATTTATTAAGTTTCAACTGCTTTAAACTCTCCTTTTTAATGGTTGTCTTGTGTCCCTCAATTGTATTGTTGGATACAATTGTTTCTGATTTCTTGGTATGATAAATAACACTGCCATGAGTGAAATTCACATTTTTTATAAATTTTTCAAGATAGTTGGAATATTTGTTAGATTTTCAGAAGTAGTTTTTACTGGTTAAGGAAACAAAGAAAAATAGTTTAAATACCTAGCAAATCATTTTAAGGGAAAAATCTTTTTATAACCAAATACCCAATATCACCCATCCATATACCATCTGTCTATATAGACATATAATGTATATACCATGTCTGTCTGTTGTTCCATCATCTATCAGTCCATCTACCTATAAATCAACTGACTCGATCTATTACCTGCCTTGACCCACTTTTTTAAAAATCAGCTTGCCTGCATCACTTGAAGATTTAAGCCTCAACTCCCTCAAAATCCCTGAAATTATTTAAAAGGTTCAACATCTCAAAGTTTCTTGTGCATATTTTATTAAGGAACTGTATTCCCCCAAATAATTCTTCTCCCTTATAGTTCTGATTTTTGCCTTGTCAGACAAACCTGAGGTTTACAGTTGATTGTTTTTTCAGTAAAAATGCTCAATGCTGAGATTTTATGCACTTAACACAAAGAGAACAGCTGATGCTTCTAAGGACCCTGCCTGACGCCATGGTGGGGAGGGGTGAATGGCTGGATAAGCACCCCTGGTTGGGGCGGGGCTCTCCGCACTGAGGGGGGGGGGTCTCACCTTTGCTGCATGAGTTCATTGCCAGGGGTAGCCCCTGTGTGGACATGGCATGTGGGATATACCAGCCCCTTCCTGTAGTGGAGTCTCCTGCCAGGATGAATACTCAGGCCACACTCAGGGTAGCTGCTTTTTCTTTCTTTCTTTTTTTACCCAAAGATTTATTTTTATTTATTTATGCATATAAGAACTGGGGTGTAGGCTAGAGGTGCCGGGGGTGAGAGGACTCACCAGAGACAGAGTGGGGAGCAGAACAATGGATTTACTGAAATCCACTGGTGAGGGGAGCAGCGGGTGAGACAGGAGAGGTCTGCTGCTCCATGTGGGTCAGCTCCCTGGCCAGGGATCGAACTCATATCGCAGTGGCTGGCAATAGCTTGATTGAGGCCCCCTGCTTTTTCTTTTGACGTGAGTTTAACCTGTAAAAATTGTGTACCAGGTTATTTGCAGTTTTTCTTTTTCTTCCCCTACCATTATTACATTTTGAGAATTTTCCAGTTTATAGATAAATTGCAAGTTTATAGATAAATTTTCCAGTTTATAGATAAATTGCACACGTACAGTGAGTATGTGTGTCCTTCGCCTCAATTCACCAGTTGTTAGCATCTGACCACACTGGCATGTGTCTCTGTGTATGTGCTCATGTGCCTGTCTGTACACGCAAATGCAAATATGTCTGCATGTGTGTACACATACCTATATTATATTTGTGTGCATGTATAAGCCCATGTATAACTACATGTACATGTTTATTTTTTAAATTAGTGATGTGTGAGTAAATGCAGACAGTGGAGTTCTTCAGGGCTTGCATCAGGATGAGGTAAGTGAGGCACTGAAAAACTCAGTCATCAAGATAAATATTGGGGTGCACTATTTTAAAAATTCAGTGTTAAAGAAAACAGAATATGGTGACCAAAATATCAAACATTTAAATAGGCTGTTGTCTGTTTTAGGACTCCTGCTGACTATGCAAGGAGGATCATGTATCGCTCAGCCTGGGTTCTGGGGCACGTGGCTGTGCAGAATGACAATGGCTTGTGACCAGACTGGGCAGTGTGGCCTGTGGCTATACACACGTGCTTTGTACGAACTTTTGTTATTTGCTACAAACTATGTACCCAGTGGTGTGTTCTTCCCCCTTCACCCATGCTCCCCATGACTCCACGCTAAGGGCAGCGTGCACCACTCCTAAGAACAGAACCTCCACCGGCCACCTGCAGGGTATCGAGGCCCAGGGTCATCCCATGAGCATCCATGTTTAAATTTCCACTCCTGTGAAGTGAAGACTTTAATTCTTCCTGCTCCCCTTTAACATCCAATTAGAGGGCATGCCTCACATTTAGTTATCAAGCCTCTTATTCTCCTTTAATCTACTTTATTTAATTGCAGTAACGTTGGTTTGTAGCACTGTGTATTTTAGGAGTGTAGGTTCATACCTCCTCCGCGGATCTTGTCACACCATACCCCCTACCAAGATATAGCAACCCCCTCACCCCAGTCTGGTGGATCCCCTCTGCTGTTTGCTCCCTCCCTTCCCTGTAATGCTGTCTGCAGCTGGATGCCGAGGGGCTGTTTTGGCTTGTTCTGTTCCTTTGCTTTGTTTCCTCATATTCCACACCTGCATGAAATCACCCTGTCATTGTCTTTCTTCAGGCTTGTTTTACTTAGCATGAGTCCCTCTAGGTTCAGCCATGTTGCCCCAAATGGCAATATTTCATCTTTTTTTTTTTTAATCCAGCGGATTAGTACTCCATTGTGTTTATACACTACGTCTTCCTAACCCACTCATTTCTTGGGCACGGAGGTGGTTCTACAGCGTGGCTATTGTAAATAGTTGTGCAACGAACATAGGAGAGCATATATCCCTCCCAATGGTATTTTGTCCAAAGACTAGATACCTAGGGGTGGAACTACTGGATCATATGGTATACCTGTGGTAGATCTATCTTTACTATTTTGAGAAACCTCCATACAGATTTCCACAGGGGCTGGACCAGTCTACCTTCGCACCTGCAGTGTACAGAGGTTCCGTTTCCTCCGCACACCTGCCAACATTTGTTTCTGGACTTTTTGTTATGGGCCTTTGTCAGGGGTGTGAGGTGCTATCTCATTGTGGGTTTGATTGGCATTTCCCCGTTAAGTGACTATGAGCATTTTTTTCTGTGGGCCTTTTAGCCATTTGTATGTTGTCTTACATTCTCCTTTAATCCAGAAGATCATTCCCTCCTCACTTTTGTCTTTTACACCATTGGCAGTTTTGAACTGTCTGGCTCCATTTTTATATCCACTCCTTCTGAATTTTCATTTGCCTGGGTGTTACCTGAGCATACTGACTGCGTTAGGCCCGATTTTTGTTTGTGCCTCATTGAACCTGTGGATGGAGAAAGAACAGGAGAGTGCTTCCCAAAAGAGCCACGTCAGCCATCTCTGCAGGCAGAGCAAGTGATACGACAACAATGGCTATACAGGTAGGATTTTTGTAGGAAAAACAGACCATTCCAAAAGAGCAGAGGTGTGTACTTTTTAGGTCTTACAGGTCTTACGCTAGAAAAATTACCACCTGAGATGATAAGTGGTTTCAGCCCCTGAGCTAGCTTTGACTGAGTCAAGGTGACTTTCAGTGCTGCCTAGGGCTTAGGGGTGAGGAAGAACCTCATAATACATGAGTGATGTCAGCCATGGACATCAGAGGAGGGGTGGGGCTGAGGCACTGGCCAGTGTGACCTGTCCCTGGTCAGGGTAAGTGTGGCCTCTGGCCTGCTGCGAGCCCTAAGTCTGTCTTCCTAGCCTAGGCCACGCTCATGAATGTGCAGACACGCCAGGACTGAGGTAGGTAGGTAAGTTGGCTCTTTTCTTGTGGCTCATGGCTACCCCGCCTACTTCTCTCTAATCCCAGCTCCTATGTGTGTAATTCTGCTTCATCCTCCCACAAATCCTTAAAAATGCACAAACTCCTCTTGTAATGGTTTTCTAATTCCTGACAAGAACTCTTGTTAGACAGTTAAAACCCAATCTGTTTCCAGCCTCCTAGTCATGAGTGTTGACCAGCAGGATAAATATGAGAGAATCCACAGCTCATTAATTCCCTCCCAGGTACTAAGGCCACAACCTGAAATTTTTCCTTATGGTCCTTTTGGACCATATTTGAATATGAAGAGGCCTGACCTTGGAATTTAATTAGAAGTAAACAAAGAGGCTGAACTATTTTTTTTTAAGATTTATTCATTTATTTATACAAGCACTGGGTACAGTCAGAAGCACGGGAGGGTGAGAGAATTCACCAGAGCCAGAGCAGGGAACGGAACAGGCAGAAGGACCGAAGTACACTGCTGAGGGGAACAGCGAACGGCAGGAGAGGACTGCGCGCCATGTGGGACCCTTGCCAGCAGCTGGGGATTGAACCAGCACTGCAGAGGCTGCAGGCAGCTTCGCAGCCCAGCACTCAACTGCTGCACCAGGGGTGGGGGCGGGGGGGAGGCCCGAGGCTGAATTATTAAGACTACTCAGGACAGCAGTGGGAGCCAGCCTCCCCATAGTGCCTGCCTTTCTTTCCCTTGGTCTGTAGCAGGTAAATTTCTCCCTCTCTGCCAAACCCAGTTTCTCTGTTCTTCAGATCTTTCCTGATGAAGTAGAGTATCTGCACACACGCAGTATACGTGATATAGGCATACGGGCGCGCACTTATTCTGTAGAGATCAAGGGCAGTGGGGCAGTATTATGTCAATTTTCAGCGAACAGCCCTTTTTGAAGATTGAAATGTGTATTGAGAGCATTGTAGATTCACATGCAGTTGTAAGAAATAATACAGTGTAGCTTTGATCCGTTTTCGCCAGTGATAACTTTTCTACAAAATTGTAGTAAAATATCCCAAGCAGCAAATGGACACCAGCACACTCCACGGCCCTCAGCCAGAACTCTCCAGTCTGACTTGTTCTCATTCTTGTGTGTGTCTGTAGTTCCACACACGCAGCCACGCGTGTGAGCATGCCTTTGACTCAGCACTTCCATTCTCTGGGTTCTCTCCCCCAGAATATCTGTGTGTGTCCACAAAGCCCTGTAGACGGCAGTATTTCTGTGGCCTCCGCCACTCGGGAGGAATGAGATCCTTCACGGCGGTGACTAAAGGGCTATAGCTGAACAGACCAATATGAGTATAAAAAGCATAGAGCAATAGGACGGTAGAACTACACTTATGTGAAAAATGTACAGGGATAAATGTGTCTCCAAATGTATGCAGGGCAATGCATTTTAAAATAGGAAAGATACTCCTCAGACTGTGAACAGCCATTAGCATGTTTTTCCAAGAGGGGCTGTAAATGTCCAACAGTGAGGTTATTCTTTGGCATTTCAAAACCAAGTGACCGGCAATCATTTCATAGCCAGGTTGCCGCAGAACCTTCCAGCAGTGGGGAGAGCACCCCCTTCCACCTGAAGAAAGAAGCAGCAGAGTCTAGGGGTAACTATCAGCTTGAAGCAGTACCCAAGGGTGTGGGTAAACTGGGTTTATCTGAAAAGACACATGTAAAAGAACCCACATACTTGGTAAAGGCAAACCGTGGAAACCTTCACATACAAAGTAAAACTCGCTAACCAACAATTATAAGAAAGCCGGAGTGTCTTTTCCATACCCACTGCCAGCAACCTTTTTTCTTTCCCCTCCAAGCAATGGTGACTTGTTTACTTAGAAGTTAAAATACAATGTGTGGAGGAAGGGGGAAGCAGGCCATTTAACGCAGGCCTCCCAGTGCACAGGAAGAAACTAGAAGAGCTTTCCCAAAGTGCATTTTTGTAACATATAGATACATTTTCCCATAAGAAACTCCCTGAAAAATTGAAACCACATGTGCAGCTGGCCTGGCTGCTGCATTAGCCAGGAAAAGCAGCTTTCTCGGCTCTTGACTGGGGGTTGGTCTCCACAACAAGCAGCGCCCCCAGTAACAAACAGGCCAGCAGGGCGAAGCTCGCAGCCTGCTCCTTGCTTCTCCCCCACCCTGGCTCTTGCTCTCCAAAAGTTACAAACTGAGTTTCCTTCCTGATAAACCCCAAGGCTGTCTCCCTGATTGGTCTCGGTTTGGAGAAAAGGACGTGACATCAGCAACTCTGTCGACCTGGGCTGGGGGGCTGCTGTGGGCTTTGGCCAGCCTCCAGCTGGGGCGGAGTGTGCCGGCGCGCACGCCTGGGTGCCCGCAGGTAGGACTCAGATTACCCAGCCGGTCCTGGGCTCTGCTGCCCTGTGCTCTCCTCTCCTCTCCTGCAGCTCCACCGGTCACAGCTCTGGCATCTCCCCGGAGCAGGGGAGCATGGAATTTGGACTTTGCTGAGCACCGAAGTGGAACAGAGAGCTGTTTGACCAGCAGTGCATCATGGCCAGTGAGCAGCCGGGCAGCGCCAGCAACAAGCCCCCGGGGCGGGGAGACTCTCAGGACCCCAGGCTTGCTTGCAACCCGTTAATGGGAGGTGAGTCCAGGGGCTGTGGAGCCCTTGCTGAGGGGGTGGCGGACAAATTTGGGAGGGAAGAAGTGAGACAATGGTGGGGGGGAGGCTTCAGTGGCTCCTAGCGAGTTGTGGCCACGGCGGTCCCTGGGCAGAGAGATGCCCATGGCCTGCTGGTGTAGACCCTCCACTCATTCAAAAATGTCTGGAGGGTGCCATGGGCCACCCAGAGTTGAAGGTCACAGTGTAGTCTCCAGACACAACTTCAACTCTCAGGAATCCAATGTACCACCTCCCTGCCATGGCCGTTTAAAAGTTGTAAACAGCAACTTTTTGGCTGCTAATCTGTTTATGCTAAGGTCTTAGGTATTTGGCATTTAGGTGGCGCCGGGTTCGTCACTGATGTTCTGAGTGTTGATTGCTTCGCTGTGAAGGGGGATTTTCTTTTAACCTTGGAGACTTGGCCAGCAGGCAGGAGTCACACCTGTCAGGTGGTGTCCTGGCGAAGGTCTAGAGGCCAAGGTCTCGGGGCAGCTGTGCTTCCTGGGAGCATCCAGCAGGTGACCTCCTGTGGAAAGGATTCTGACAGAGGGGCCCAGGTATCCGAGAAGAGAGATTGTGCTGGCGGCCTCATGGGCTGTACATACCTTTGCTGGTCAGGGGCAGTGACGGGGAGCCTGCAGGCAGCCGGGACTTTGCAGTCTGCCCCTCTCTAGGGGCTGGAGGAGCAAACAGAAGACATGAGAGCTTTCCCTCTGACTAACTGAGCGGAAGAGGCTGCTCATTCACTCCTTTATCCAACTTGGCCTGTAGAATGAGCAGGATACTCGACAGTGGGGAGGATTTGGTTCATTGAAGGTAGAGCTGGGTTAATTGGATAGGTTGAACACACTGGGAGCAGTTGAAAGCAGAGTGGCGCCAAAATTCTCTCTTTGAAATGAATTTGATAAACTTTTTTTTAAAGCAACAAACCAGTCACGGTGGGAAGAATAATTTGGCTGATTTCTGCCCAATGGTTTTACAGCTGAGTATTTTGTTTATTTTTATTTGCACATGACAGAGGTGCCAGCTACTTTTCACTGGAGTTTCTAAAGGTCCTCATCCAATCCTGGTTGGAGTGGGATGGAGGGGTGAGGTGGGCTCTGTGTGTGTGTGTGTGTGTGTGTGTGTGTGTGTGTGTATTCTCAAATGTATGGCACTTAGGAAGTGAAGCCATGGTCACTGCTAGAATGCAGTGTCTTGGAATGCAGGTAGCTCAGTGAGAACAAGTTTGGAGAGATGGAACCTGATAAGGAAGCTTTGAAAACTAGATGTGGGAGATTGACCTTCATGAGACAGGGGATTGGGAGCCATTGATGGTTCTGGAGCACAGGCCTGGCCATAATGAAGATTATAAGTAAATTCATCGAGCAGCCACCATCAGGATGGATTTTGGGGTGATCATGGAAGCACTTGCATATCTCCAGTGGTTCTCAAATTCTCAGTTGCATTAGCATCACCTGAAGGGTTTGTTAAAATGCACAGAGCTGGGCCCCACCCCCAGAACTTCTGATGCAATAGTAGGTCTGGGGTGAGGCCTGGGACTCTGCATTGACAAGAATCTCCCAGATGGTGCTGGGGGGCAGGGGAACCGCACATTGAGAACCCCACTGCACCAAAGCAAGTATTAAGCTGGCCTTTGGATTGAACTTTGGATACGACCTGACAGAGGAAGGAAAAGTGTGGGTGATTTCAAAGGAAAGAGCAATGAGGCTCTGTGGCTGATGAAATCTTGGGGCTCAAGGAGAGAAGGCAGCTGACATAAGTTTTCCAGCAGGAATGAATGTCAGCTAGGAGAGAAGTTGAGGAGGGTCTGGGGGAGGAGCTGTCTTGGGAGCAGAGCAAGGAAGAGAAGGCGCTGTAGTTTGAACAGAAAATCGCCAATGCACAGTGTGATGAGGGGCTGGACGAACCCAGGTAGGACACAGATCTCAGGATGGCCTGCTGGGGGCTGTGTTGCAGTCCTGGAGAAGGAGGAAGTGTCTGCTGGCCAAGAGCTGAGCTGAGGAGGGAACTTCAGGACCGGTTACCAGTTGAGGATGTCAGACCAGTGATCTGGACAGAGGCAGGAAGAGACTTGGATGCTACCATTCCACAGGGGCCAAGGGAAGAGACATTTTCAAAGAGGCAGAAATCATAAAGCAGATGCCAGCACACCTTTGCTGCCCCCCCTCCTTCTCTGCATCTTATAGGCAAACTCTTACTCACCTTTTGCACCCTTCTGACCACTGCCCCCAGGAAGCCCTCCCAGATTTTCTTCTCTTTACCCGAGTGGGGTCTTCCCCTACTTTGCCTGTCTTGCCCTTTGGGCAGCGCCTCAGTTGTAGCTGGATTGTATATGTTTATGCTTCTGAAGTCAACCTTGCTGAAGTGTGAACCGCTCAGAAAGCTGTTCTCTAACAGCTGTGCCCAGCCAGTGAAGCGTTTCTCCGGGCACAGGGCTAGGTCAGAGTGAAATTAGGGCCCAAGTGTGGTTTGTCCGGGGCCTTTTTGCTGTTCCTACCTCCACTTGGAGGCAGAGAAAAGGATAGGTAGATGGCGGCCCCCTCTGCAGACATACACTCATGCTTGACCCCTGCCCTGGAGCAGTTACAGAACGGCTTCATTTCCTTGGAAAGATCTTGTTATGGGTTCATTTGAGCTGCCTCCCCAAAGCCACGTTGAAGCCTCCCCTCCGGTACCTCACAATGTGTGTGGAAATAGGGCCCTCGAAGCTAGAATTATTTTGGATGGAAACATAATGGAGGAGAAGGAGCCCTACTCCAGGGACGGGCATCCTTAGACGAGGCGTGAAGGAGGCAGGGAGCAGGCCGCACAGCATCAGGAAGCCGCAGGAGGGTCCATCTAGCAAGCCAAGCGACAGCAAAGATGGGCGGCCTCCATCAGAAGAGCACCCTCTCTGTGGTACTTTGTCAGGCAGCCCTAGGAAATGAATTCCTGCTTCCTCATGGACCCTTTGGAGACCATATGGAAGGATAAACAACCAACCAGACCACATGGAAGGATAAACAACCATCACCCCAGTGGGCAGGCAACCACTGTGCCCATTTTCCGAGTCTGCCCTGTCGACCCGCGCCTGTAAAGACATGCGTTTCCTCCCAAATTGAGAGAAAACAGACGACCCCGCCGGTGCGGACCCTGGAGAGAGAATTGCGGTGGGCAGGACCAGCTTGGCCAGCATTCGCCTCAGTGGGCCTTTCTGTCTGCCCGTCTGTTTCCCTTCCTCCTCTGGCGGTTGGTCCCGGAACCCCAGCGCGGCCCACCCGCCTTGTGCGCGCAGCCGCCTGCTAGGCCGCTTGCCCGTGGTGCAGACTGAGGGCAGATGCTCCTTCCCCGGCAGAGCACCCCGACCTCTCTCCTTCTCCTTGACCTTGCGGGCTGTTTCCCAGGACAGAGAGATTTCTGCTCCCGCACAGCGCTCGCGGCGGCGCTCAGAGCTTCGCTGACAGCTCTTTTCCAGTGTACGAACTCGGGCATTTTAAATCTTTTCTGAAATAATGGAAATTTAAAAAAATCATGCCAGAAATTGCAATTAAAAGTGAAACGGCAGCCTCGCTAATGGGCTGCCGGGTTTGATGGAGACGTAATTTCAAAGAAAGGTGAGTTTAATGGCACTAATGGGTGGACTCGGGGAGCGGTTGTGTTAGGCGCTCCCTCCCCTATTTAACCACGAGCTGCACTACTGCAGCTGTGACGTGGACGGTGACCCCACTCAGCATCTATTTTTTGACACTATAACCACTAGACCCTGGCTGAGCAGGTGCTGGGAAGAATCTTTCATTTATACCCACACGAGGACTCGGAGAATGTGTCGTATACGATAATGGCCTTCGAGTTTCAAAGACTTGCCGGTCCCTGTTTTCCTTCTTCCTTTTTTAATTTATTGGGGGCCCATGGAAAAGGAGATTGTGACCTTGATTCTCCCCTTTGTCTAGAATCTCCTCTTACACATGTGGTCCCTTTGCTGGCAGGAATAGGCCCCTGCTTGTTCTGCTCGCTAGCTGCGCGCCGGAAGGCAGGCAGTGCTGCTGCTCCGTCTGACTGTGTGTGTTGAGTTTGTAACTGCTTGGGATGTGGCTCTGCAAAGCTGTGGAGAAACATCTTGCAGATAGTTCTTCAGTGTTTTTAGTAACCAGAGAGTATGTGGTCTAGCTCCTACTGCAAAGCATGGTGTTTGCTGGAAATGTGTGTGCGCGTGTCTACACGCACACACACATGTTCACGCTGTTGATGTCAGCGCTAGAAAAATATCGACCTTTTGTTACCATAGTTTTACATTTTTACGTAATCACTCAACTGTTCAGAGATGTGCTGAGGCCAAAGGCCTTATGTAAATTTAAGATGAATTTGGGCTTTACAAGGACTCTGTTTTTCTTCTGGGCAGGAGTATGGGTACCTTATGGTAGGCTCACCCCATGAAATGACTTGAAATTAGAAAGGGACATCTCTCACGCTGCTGATGGGAACATAAAGTGGTAGAGCCACTTTGGAAAATAGCCTGGCAATTCCCAGAAGGCCAAGCTTTCGGTTACCATATCACCCAGGTATATATCCAAGAGAACTGAAGCATACATGCACTCAGAATTGCATGCGTGAATGTTCAAAATGGCATCATGCACCATAGCTAAGAAGTGGAAACAGTGCAAATGCCCCTCACCGATGACTGCAGAAACAAAATGTGCTCCACCTTAGCTTCGCAGTGCATGCATATTACTTGCTAACACGAAAGGATGAGGTACTGCTAAATAGGCCAACATGGTTGGGACTCGAAACGTTATGCTTTGTGAAAGAAGCCAGACACAGAGGGCCCCGTATTGCGTGATTCTGTTTCTCTGAAATGTCTGGAACAGAAAGTCCACGGACACCGAAAGCAGATCAGACGTTTCCAGGGGCTGAGGAAATGGAAATGGGGGCTGCTAAGGGCCGAGGGTTTCTTTTTAGGATGATGAAATTACTCTAAAATGGATGGTGGTAATGATTATACAACTCTGTGAATATACTGAAAACAATCGACGTGTACATGTTAAACGTGTGAGTTGTTTGGTATGTGAATCATGACTCAGTAAGGCTGTTAGCTAGACAGCTAGATGGATGATCGATAAATAAAAAAGTAGATAGGTGGGTGGATGGTAGGTGGGTAGATGACAGTAGGTGGACAAGTAGATGGGCTGGTGATAGGTAGGTAGCTAAATAGACATGGATTGTCAGCCCCTGCTGCATGAGTCAGGAACACTGTTCCTCAAAGACACAAATGGTCTCTGCCCTGTAAACTCTAGAAGTACCACATTCTGCTATGGAGATATAATACCTCCAGGAGCTTTTTTTCCTTCTTAAAAAAGTACATAAATCTTTATTTCCCCTAAATAGAGGGAGTAATGGTGCCATGAAGAATGGATAGAAAGTAAAACCTGTTTTTGCCAACACTTGATAATATAGCTGCATCATTTTTATGCACTCTGAATAGAGATACACTTAAGGACCCAAATTACCTGCATGGACTGTTGAGGCTATTAACCCTAATTACCTGAGGTAGCCTTAAGAAAGGTTGAGAAGTGAGCAGCTTTATTTCTTAGCAGCTGAGCACTAGGAAGGAAAAAAGATTAATCCTCACAAACCTGGTGATCCCTTAGGGTACAATTGCAAATCTATTTAAACCTGATTTTCAAAACCTTTCTCAATTTTTGACTCTGTCTTCTCATTCAAGAGTCTGCATGGATGCTATTTTGCACCAGCAGCCACAGGGTAAAATGAATTGTCCTTCTCATCCTAATTGGGGAGAAACCTTTCCATACCTACAGTCTGGACTGTGGGCGCCAAGCCCTAGAAGCTGCAGTATCTCTTCCTGAGAGTATCAGGAGCCTCAGAGAACGCCATGAGGATCTATGCTTCTAGTGAAGGCCAGGATTTGGAGGCAGGAAAAACCATTTCACCTCAGGTGCCTCAAGCGCTGGGTGACCCAGAAGGACAGCATGGGGGGGTGCAGTGAGTAGGTGGCCTCACTCAGCTTTTGCCAAGTAAATTCTTCCCATGTCCATTTGCAAGGGCGCTCATTTGCTCCCCGAGGCAGATTTCCCAGGGCATTGACAGGCCGCAGCAGGCTGACCTCAGCCTACAACCTTGAACAGCACCTGTGGGTTCTTCAAAACTGGGATTGTAAGGAAGCTGGTCTTTGAATAATGTCATTTCATTCAACATTGTCTTGGATATTTTTCCCCTCATCAATGTTATGAGGAAATGACATCGAACGGAGTAACATTATTTGAGGATCAACTGTGCCTGTTTCTTGGGTCTTCTCAGCTTTGAGCAGATCCCAGTTCCTTTCCACGGCACGGCTGGTATGAGACTGGTGCACTCCACTTGCGGGCACTGTGTTTTCTGACATACGCTCAGAGGAGCCCCCCACCTTCATTCTCACTTCCTGAGGGGGTTGGTGCTGGAAATCAGACACAGCTGGAGATGAGAAACATTCAGGCATCCGCTTCATTCAGGGTGTATCCACTCAGAAAGAGGACAGCGTGCCGTGTGCTGGCACAGGGCTAAAAGATTTCCTTCCTAGGAATGTATATGACCATAGAATAAATTTGCTATTTGAAACAGCAATGATGATGACGTATAATCAAAATTGTGTGTTTAGAGCAGGATGATAGAAGCTAACAGGCATTGAACCTGGGGTAAGTATATATTGCTGTCTTCCCTTACAGCGAAGGAACTAAAAACTTGGGGATCCATGACTCAAGTCAGAGGCTTAACCACATTGGCACACTGCCTTTGGGGATAAATCGTGTCCCTGCTTCAAGGTCAGACCAAACTTTGATGCGTGCTTGACATTGGGACAGGAAGTGACCCACAAATAGACACGGTTCTGTTTGTATTTGATTCCAAACCTAATGGTGTATGTAATCACATGATTACTACTATTAGTACGTGGCACTGTTTTACTGAGATGCCAAAGTTTGCATTTCACGCAGGAAACTAGACTGGCAACCGCAGCTTAATACACTAAAGCTGGTAATTAGTGGGGCTCTCACTTCACTGGATGGACCATTTGCCTTTGAAACCGGTGTGTAAATGGAAGTATAGTAATTATCTGCCAACCCCAACCCCGGTGACCTCTTTTGTCCTCAGCTGGGTCATGGCGGCCGTTCTTTCTTTAGCTATCTAGACCTTTTTTTTTTAAAGCAACTCTGCATATGAAATGTCAACAGAGAAGAGAAAAACTGACATCCTGATGGGAGTTTTGGTTGCCTGACTCTAGGCTGTGACCCATTGAGCCTGCTCCCATGGCCTGGCAAGGTAGGGCTCACAATCTAAAGTGTATCAGCAGATGTGACCTGTTCTTCCTCTCCCTACAGATGCTGTGTCTGATTGGTCTCCTTTGCATGAGGCTGCAATCCACGGCCGTCTGCTGTCTCTGAAGAACCTCATCAGCCAGGTAGGTAGCTTTTTTTGGGGAAAAAAAAAAGCTCTAAATGGCTATTTGAGCAAGTTAGGTACTTGAAAATTCTTGAAACCTTCATTTCTGCCTTCATAAAAAGAGCACTCCAAACACCTACCTGTTTGTGAGCTCTTGCTGTGTAACAAACCACCTCAAGCTCAGTGGCATAGTAAAGGGACCATTTATTTCTTGCTCACAAGTCTTGGGGTTAGCAGATCTAGACTGGGCTTAGCTCCAAGCCATGGGTGGGGTGTGGGGGGTGCCATTCTACTGCATATGTATCCCATCCTTCTCTGACCAGTGCTGCCTGCAGAACTTCCTTCTCACTGCAAAAGACTAGGGCACAGCAGCAAGCCCAAGCATGCAGGAACCCTTCCAGTCAGCTTATGTCACCTCTGCTAGCATCCCATGGTCAAAAGAAGCCAGATCACCAAGGCCAAAGTGAGGGGTCAAAGAAGTACATGCTGTTAGCCTTGGGGTTATGGCACACCCGTGTATCGTATTGCACTTTACAGGAGAGTAAGGAATTGAGACCGGAGTCAGTCTATTATGTTACCTCATACAGGTGTGAGAATTACCTGTGGCGACATTAAGTAAATTACCAACTTCAGTTACTGTCAATACACATGATATCTACTTTCTTATTACAAAACACAGAGCACTTCAGATAATCAAAGGACACTAAAAAAAACTTGCTAAACATATAAGGGAAATAAGACCAAACATCTAAATGGTTATAAAACAAAGAAAAAAGGAAATTATAAAAAATAGTCTTTATTGGGTCCAAGAAAGGAGAAACTGAATGGGTAACTAATTATTCTTTGTTGTGGTAAATATTCTACAGTCTTTGTTTGCCAAACCATGCCTTTAAGTCAGGTGAAATCAGCAAACAGGGAATAGGTATTTGGATTTGTGATTTTTGAGATTCAAGTTAGTCTTAAAATGTAAATAAAAGGTGGAATGTGTCCTCAAGAAAGAATTGCCCAGAAGTTAACCAAGACGTAAGCATTTGGCTGACATCGTTTTTTAGTCCTTTTAACAAATGTAGAGGGTGGGTGCAGTTGTCCACATTTTACAAATGAGGAAACTGAGGCTCAGGGAGATAGATGCCGGCCCAAGGTCACACTTCTTGTCAGGTGATGGTGCCAGCATTTGCAGTCGATAGTCGCTGTGCTGTCCCCTCTCAGAGTTCTTAGTCCTCGGCGTGAACTGAGAGACCAGCGCCGTCCGGAAATGGGCTGCAGAGCATGGAGTTCTCTGAGGGAGAGCTCCGTTGGCAGAGGCTGAATTTACGTTGTGAGCTGGGTCTCTGGATGGTTATGTCTTATCAGGGATTAGAAAAATGCACCAGGGGTGGAGATTTAGATGGCAGTGATTTCAAATACATATAGACAACATGTAGAGAATATTAAGAGAAAAGAATTCGAGGGCAAGTCCTTGAGACAATGCCCGCATTAGGCTGTGAAGCGGAAAGGACAGAGCCAGTGAAAGCAAAAAGAGATGGTCGGAAATCAGAGATAATTTCACGTAGAGCTGTTTTGAAGGCAGAGGAGAGGCTTCCCGAGTTCACAAGAGGAATATGTAGCAAATCCAGGGCTGGAGTGAAGGACAGAGCACGGTACCTCAGAGGTCATAAGGAGGAAGCCGCTGGTGATCTTCAAAAGCAGCCCCGGCAACAATGCGTTGTGGAAGGTGAGAGAAGGGGTCAACATAGAGGTGATGGGGACAGACTGTTTTTGAGAAAAAAGGGCAGTGAAGGCAAGAGCGTTGGGTGGTGGGTTGGCCGAGTCAGGATTGTGGGGGGAGCGACCTTGAGAGCGAAAGGAAAGTGGCCTGAAGAGGAGCAAACTGGGGCTGGCCTGCGAGAAGGTGGAGGCCTGGGTGAGGCCTCTGGCTATTGCTGTGAAGTTGGCTGTTGTGCTGAGGTCAGCTGCTGGGGTGAGTGCATGCATTTCTTCCTCGATGAAAGGTGCAATGGGCGAAAAGAGGACTGGAGAAGTGCCGAGAGGCTTTCAGGAGTGGGAGGAGGGGAATGAAGGAGGGAACACCAGATGGCTCTCACCTCCTTGGTAAGGCCGGAAGGGAATGCAGTGTTGGAGGTGATGCGCGTTCCAGAAGGAGTTGCTAACTGTGCAGGACAAAGGGAAGAGCCTGACCTTCGTTGTTTAGTCAGTTGACTCAGCCTGGCTGGGCATTTGGGACGGGCAGGAAGGTGTCAGGTACTGAGCACTGTGCCTCTGTGCCTCTCGTGGGCGCCCCAAGACTGCACAGCCTTAGGGACCCACCCAAAAGAGAGCTCCTGACGATAGGTTGAGATTAGAAGACAATTGACAACAGCAAAAATTTAAAATAAGCCATTCATTTGTCTTTTACTGAGAGCTCGTTGTGGACTGACCCCGGGTGAAATTCAGCCCAGCTTAGTGGGTTATATTGGGTCATATCCTGGCAGTATTATATGATTCAGACTTGTCAGTAATTGACGCCAGTCACCATGTTTCACTGTAAGTAGAACTATAGCTCAGTGGGAACCTGTCAATACAGTCCTAAATTTGCACAGGGAACCTTGACTTGGAGGAACCTCTTTTTAATGTGAATATATTGTGTGGTCAAAACTTTTTGTGCTGGGAATACTTTTTTTGTATTTGCACTTACCTGCATTTAAGGACGTAAATGTATAAGAATTAGGTGTTTAGAAATGGCAGTCGAGGGCCTCCCTGGTGGTGCAGCGGGTTGAACACAGTGCTGTGAAGCTGTCCGCAGCCTCTGCAGCACAGGTTCGATTCCTGGCCAGCCAGGGAGATACCCACATGTTGTGGCAGACCTCTCCTGTTGCTCCCGCTGCTCCCCTCAGCAGTGCTTTCGGTCTGTCTGCCTGTTATGTTCCCCACTCTGTCTCTGGTGAATCCTCTCACCCTCCCGTGCCTCTGGCCTGTACCCCAGCTATTGTATAAATAAAAAATAATCTTAAAAAAATGGCAGTTGAGCCTGGAGGAGCGTGCTTATAATGACGAAATACCTTATAAATAACTCCTTTAAAGGGCAGACTTCTCTCATCCCATGAGTAGACGCAAGGAGGAAAATGCCGTTAACGTTTTGCTGTGAATTTCTGGTGTACTCTAGCAGTGGGAGTAAAAGAGATTGGGCAAATAGAGAGCATGAGACGGGGAACAAGGAGTTGAGAACAAATCTTTGAGGGCAATGCCTCCAATAAAAAAATAAAATAATGACAGTAATTAAATAGAAGATATTCCACTGGGAAGCCCAGGGGTAGTACTTGTGAAGCGATAAATAAAATAATTCAAGTTTTTCTTGAGTCAAGGGGTCAGTATGCATTTATTGGTGGGTACAGATGGGATCTGAGATTGTGCAGGCAGCAGAGCTGGTATGGTTATTTTGAGTCTTCCAGAACCCCTTCCTAGGCCCACCCCTCCCCCAAAGGCCCTGACTTCAACATCCTGTAGACTGGGCATGCCCAGAATGACTGCTTTTCTCAAAATATGTGAACTTGCCAGTCAGAGGGTGGAAGCCACGAAAGGACAGGCTAGAGAGGGGCTGACGTGTCGATGCCGCAAGAGTAGAAGGATGCGTGTTAGGATGATGGTGAATGAGGCAGTTTATTTGAATGACTTTAGGACAATGTAAACTATTCTGGAAAGAAAGGGTGCATTATATTACAAAGTCATGCATTAAACTAACCACACTCTTAACCCACATGCCCCGAGAAAAATATTTTTCTTGTACTCCATGTCCTCCTGTTAAGGATAATGTGTTCCAAGAACAGGGGGTCTGAGATTCTGGGGTCCTTTTTGTGTTCTGCTTGGACCCATCTCCTGGAGAGTACATTTTCTAAGAGGTTGATGGCCTCACAGCCTTCCAGACCCTTGTTTCTTCAGACCTACACTACCCAGAGTGAGAGCAGTTGTCCCTGTTTCGGGACTTTCCGGCTGTCTGTGGAGGATCACCTGTGTAAGTCATCTCTTGCTGTGTAATAAATGATCCCAAAACTTAGTGACTTAATGTAGCAAATGTATTAACTCACAGCATCTGTGGGTCATGAGTCTAGATGCGCTTTATCTTGGTCCAGAGTCATGACTCAGTAGCCAGGTGCAGGCCAGAGTTGCAGGCCCCTGAAGGCTGGGCTATGGGAGGAGCGAGTTTCCACTCCCGTAGCTGCTGGGAAGCTTCCAGGCTTCCTGGGTTGTGGGCTGGAGACCGCCCTGGGCTCCTTGTCACAGACCTCATCAAAGCATGTGAGGGGACAAGAGCGAGTGGGGGTGAGATGAAAGGCAGTGTTGGTGTGTAGACCTATGAGTTCAATGGCTGCATGGTCATCTCTAGTAGATCTTGGCAAGCTTCTCCTGAGTGGTATCGTATTATGTTCCCACCACCAGCCATACGAAAATTCCTCCTTTTGTTTTTTGGTGGCAGTTTTTTTTTTTTTTTTTTATATGCTTGTTAACACTTCAGTGTCAGATTTTGAGCCAGGTTCACTTTGAAAGGAATTGTCATCATCCTGGACTTGTGCTTGAACTGTGCTTTGCACTGCTTCCCCTACCTGTTTTCCTTCCTGCAGGGATGGCCTGTGAACCTCATCACAGCAGACCGTGTGTCCCCACTCCATGAAGCCTGCCTCGGAGGCCACCCCTCTTGTGCGAGCATGTTGTTAAAGCATGGGGCTCAGGTAAGCGCAGCTCAAATAATACCTTAGAAACCATAGATGAAAAATGACTGCTTCTATCCCTGCTGAATAATTCCCAGCATTTTTGATTAGTCTGACTTGAAATATGAAGAGGAATATTTTTCAAAAGTATTATGTCCATCAAGCTTATTTGTTTTAGTGATAGATGAAATGCTGAATTTTTAGCAAGGAAATAAGAGTTTGAGTATATATCATGTTCTGGAACCGTCGCTGCTAATAAATAGCTGTTAGATTTCTGCCTTCGTTCTTAGGGAAGGTAGTGAAATATTATAGAAAACACATGACATTTGACTTCTTAAGACCTGAATAATGGTCCCAGCCATCTCTACCATTTACTCACATTGGGAACTTGCACAAGTAACTGAGCCAGTGAGCTGTCGAGCCTATATGTGGTAAAGGGGGAAATCACAGAGGTTGTGTAGCTTATGGTGGTATGATGAAGACTGAGAGAGATAAGGCCTGTAATGATTATTTGGAGACAGCATAATGATATCCTAGAGGAAGAAGGAAGACACAGCCACTGAATTTGAAAGTAGGCACCAGAAGCCTTCCATAACTCATGCTCAAGTGATGGGAAAATCTGATCAGAAAATTACATGTAGGTTTCTCATATTCTGTCAACCAGTATTGACGGAGCACTTAATATGTGCCTAATTCTAAGGGTTTTTTTTTTTTAAGATTTATTTATTTATTTATACAAGCACTGGGTACAGTCAGAAGCACGGGAGGGTGAGAGAATTCACCAGAGCGGGGAACAGAACAGGCAGACTGACGAAATACGCTGCTGAGGGGAGCAGCAGGCAGCAGGAGAGGTCTGCGCACCATGTAGGACCCTCGCCAGTAGCCGGGGATCCAACTGGTGCTGCAGAGGCTGCGGGCAGCTTCGCAGTCCAGCGCTCAACCACTGCGCCACCGGGGAGGCCCCTAATTCTAAGGGTTTTTTAAAGAAACTTATAAACTCCATAAGGAGACAGCCAGATAAACAGGTTAGTGAATGGAACACTGGCTACTTCAATAGATAAACTCCGATCTCTCAGTAGCCTGTTACAATTAAAGTTTATTTCTGGTTCAACTCAAACTCCAGCGTGGGGGTTCCTAGTTGGGTGGCTCTTTTCTAAGGAAGATTCAAGGATACAGGCTCCTTGCACTCTGTTGCTCTGCCATCTTCAACAAGCAGCTTCAACAAGTGTGCTTTTGGGGTCAGCTCCATTCCAGACAGTTGCAAGGGGAAAAGATGTGGAGGATGGTGAATGCAAGACCTTTAATTTAAGGGCCAGTCGTGGTGGTGACAATCCTTTTGCCTACATCTCTTGGCCAGAACTCAGGCCATGTCTCACTGCCAGGGAGACTGGGAAGTATAGTATAGTCACATGCCCAGGAGAGTGCAAATAGGCCCATTGCATGTATAGTGTGTTGGCCAGAGCAGACAGTTACAGTACACTTTTACGTCTACTAGCTTTTGCTGTGTAAGAAGCCACCCACTTCAGACAACAGCCATTTATTTAGCTCACAGTTTCTTGTTTTGGCTGGACAGTTCTGGCTGGATGGCTTCAACTAACCTCAGCTGGGTTGACTTATGCATTTGCGGTTAGCTGAAAGGTCAGCTGGGGCAGCCTGGTTCATGATGACCTTGACTGGGATGTCTGGGGACACAACATCTCTACATCGCCTCTCATTCTGTAGCAGCTGCCTGGACTTGTTCACCTTTTAGCAGGGATTCTAAGAGCAACCAAAGAGGAAAGCTCTCTGCTTGGGCCACATTTGCGACTGTCCCATTGGCCAAAACAAGTCATATGGGGGAGCCCGAATTTAAGGGTTGGGAAGTAGTTTGTAAGCTGTTGAAATAATCCTAACGCATGGCAGAGCTCATGTCCCCAGGAAGGGCATGAAGGAGATAGAACATTCAGGAACATTCTTGATGCTTTACATTCACAACCACCTTGTGGAATTTGGTATTTTTTCCCCTCATTTTTTTAGTTGGGGAATTTAAGGCTCTGGGATGGTAAGTCCTAGCTTGACAGTGACAGAGCTAGATTTAAACCCAGGCCATCCCGCCACGTGCCTTCACCCTGTGCTTTTTTTCTAGGTGAACAGCATCACGACAGACTGGCACACACCCCTGTTCAATGCCTGTGTCAGCGGCAGCCAGGACTGCGTGGATCTACTCCTGCAGCATGGAGCCAACCCCCACCCTCTGAGTGATCTGGCGTCTCCAATCCACGAAGCTGCTAAGAGAGGTGAATGTGTTCAGAATTTACGTTTTCCACCCACTCCTTCAAGGGCCGGCTTACTGTGGAAAGAAAGAGGAGGAGGGGTATCTTAGAGCAGTAGCTCACCAGTGGATTCTTAGACCCATTGACTCAGAAACTCCGGAGTGGGGCCCAGCTGACTGTGTCTGGCTTAACAAGCCCTCCAGGGGGCCGGATGCTCAGTAAGTTTGAGAATTGGCCTGGTCGTGCATTTGGAATGGTGTTCATGGCGGCATTTCTGGAACAGGGTCTGATGCGTGGCACACTAGCCGTTAATATTTGTGGACTATTTTATTGAACCCACAACCCCATCAAGGTATTTTCTAAAACAGTTTATGTTCTCCTATTTTAAAGCCTTAAAGGAAGATTGTCTCAGAACTAATCTAAGTTTGCTAAGTGAAACTAATGTTCAGTTTTGGAAATATATTACAGGCAGTTTGGGATAATTCTCTACTCTCTCCCCAGCTTTATTGAAGTATAATTGACAAATAAAATTGTCTGTATTTAGGGTATGCAATGCGATGATCTGATAGGTATTTGTGCAAAGACCACAATCAAGTTCATGAATGGATCTGTGACCTTGCATGGTTACCTCTTTTGTGTTGTGTGTGTGTGTGTGTGTGTGTGAATGTGTGATAACACTTAAGTTCTCTTCTTAGCAAATTCCAGCTATACAACATAGTATCATTAACTATAGTCAACATGGGGCACACTGGCTCCCCAGAACTTACACATCTGTGATAGTGCTTTTTATAAAGCCACAGTCTTTCCGATATTCTTAACTCTAGACAAAAAGTAAAATTGCAAGTTTTGCTTTGCTTCAGTGTTCATAGGCCCCACGGTCATGACCAGACCTTGCCAGAGGGCTTTCTATTTATTTCCCCAATGGCTTTCACCCCATGGCTTCCCATGATCCTTACAGCAGACTTATTTGATTGGATCAACTCATAATTACTTCCCAAAGCATTGACAGTCTTTCATTGAGAGACATGCTAACTCATCATATCCACTACGCACGTAGCACTCAAATGGTATAACCAGAGAGGTGCAAGGGAGCAGTATTTAAAGTATGACCTTCTAGACCAAGGAGGAGTGGTTCAGCTCTCACCGAACCTTGTTGGCCAGACTGGGCCCAGCTTAGGTTGGATTCCACAGCTTCTTCTAAGGCTCACATGTGTCCTCTGAGACTTGTCTGTCCTGGGGTCTGCCCTAGGAGCGGTGGTAAGTTTCATTCTGGGTCCCAGAGCCTACCCAGCATCCACCGTCAGTGCCTGTTTCTCTACAGCGCTCTCCAGTCTTACTTGGATCTCTCACCTGTGTGGCTACAAAGGCACAAACGATGGGAAGAGGTGGGTGGTTACAGGGTGCTTACCATGGCTGGCAGGCTCCAGGGGCTCTGCAGAAGCTGCAGACCGCATCTTCTGCTTCACCTGTGTGTGGATGACAGAGCTGAAAATCATTCCCTGTTCTAAGTAAAGGAAATAGCTTTTGGCCCCATGGACAAATGTGGGCAAATTTAAACACAAAAAATGGGGACACTGTTGTTTTCCTAGCTGAGTGTTGTGCTTTGTCTTCGCCGGCTGCAGGCCATGTCGAGTGCATCAAGTCCCTTGCTGCTCACGGGGGCAATATTGACCACAACATCAGCCACCTGGGCACGCCACTGTACCTGGCTTGTGAAAACCAGCACATTGCCTGTGTCAAGACACTTCTGGAGTCAGGTAACACAGAAAGCAAAGTGAAGCCAAGAAAGAAAATGAAAAATCAATTAAATGTCTTTTCAAGTTTGCTGTAATATAGCAGAGGAAAGCGCGCAGGCCAGGGAGTCAGCCAGGGTTGGGGTTCACGGGAACGGTATTCCCATGGGGAATTAGGTTAAATGCTTCCAACTTTGGTTCTCTCACTTGTAATGAGGATAATGATGATGCTGGTGATAATACCCTCTTCCGGGGCGTGTGAGTAATCAATGATTGTTAGTTTCTCCTCCCTTTCCTCGCCTTCCCTCCCTCTGGCTAATCATTATTAGTTCCTGCATAACCTGTAAAGTTGCCGGATTAGGACCGTCTTCCTATTTGGGGCCTCTTTACTAGTTCTCTTTGATTTAGAAATTGAACTTGCCCCATTTTTAGCCCATGGTAATGAAGAGGTTTTCTTCGCGAAAGCCTGTGGACCATCCTTCCTTTTCACTTCCCTCCTTGTCCAGTCTCCACTTTAACACCATTTCATCACCTCCTTAATTATTTGAGTCTTGTTTGTTCTTCAAGACTCCAGTAATCTTTCCCTCCCCAGTTCACAACAGACACAGATTCCCAGAGACAGGCACTAGGCAAAGCTGCCTGTCCCCACATACCACGGGGGAGCCAGCCTCTAGGCTGGGCTGGGGATGTGTGGTGAGTGTAGGGATGTGTGGTGAGTGTAGGCATGGGATTGGGTGGGGGTGGACCTAGAAGTCCACTTTACTCCTGAAGAGCAGGACTTTGCCGCCTGCCCTGTGGTCTTGGCCTAGGAGATGCTCTTACAAGTTGATCACTTTTCACAGTCAGAATTATGCAGTCCCAAGGCCCAGATTAAAACCCCACAGCAGCTGCTCAGTGAGAGTCTGGCCACTTGCTATGGACCAGAGTCCACCCTCCAGCCTCACTTCTGGGCTGTCCTGCCTAATATTGGGCTCCTTCCATAATAAATGTGCAACTTTCACACCCCCAGAATTTGTCTTGTAGGTATCACGTCTATGCCTAACACTCACAGACTACAGCCCATGTATATTCGGTCACGCTTCTCCATATTTCATTAAGTAGAATCAAGTCATCTTCCATTTTCTGAGGAAGGACAATCCCATACCCCTTTGGGGGAATTTGAAGGTCCAGTGCTTAGAGAAGGACTCTGCTCCTCAAATGACCCTCTGTTGTCCGTCTATGCAGGAGCGAACGTGAACCAAGGCAAAGGTCTGGACTCCCCTCTCCACGCAGTGGCCAGGGTGTCCAGCGGGGAGCTCGTCAGCTTGCTCATGGACTTTGGCGCGGACACCCAGGCCAAGAACGCCGAAGGCAAACGCCCCTTGGAACTGTTGCCACCTGAGAGCCCTCTGATCCGCCTCTTCTTGCAGAGAGAAGGTGCTTCTCCTTTGCCTGAACCTAAGCCCTAGTCCGTAGGCTCCTGCACGCTCTAGTGGGAGGCAGGTACTTAACCAGTTTTAACTTCCTTAAAATAGAACGTTCTCCGCTGTGGCCAACTGCGGGGAGTTGAGATGATGTAGCCTTCATGATGTGCAGGAAACCATCTTGTTTGGCATGTCGTAGACGGGCCGTTGTGATATCTGATAATTCATATATGGGGGAGGCCAGTTTTCAAATGTTAATATTAAAGTTATGTAAAACAGGCTTTAGAATGAGGGGCGGAGACCTCTCTGGGGTGGCCCCGTGCCCTGGGTACTGCAGTTGGGCTGAACTACTGGGCCTTTCTTTGGTTTCTGGGTCTGAGAATGCAACTGATCAAGCATTATAAGGTATTTCACTAATGCGTCACAGTAATGTGAAGACATTTACTATTTTTAGTTAATCTACACTAAGTTAATCTACCCAACCCCAGGAATAGGAAGTGACACTCTGAGCCTGACGAGCCTACACTGTGGTGGAGCAGCATGCTAGGGGGCGGGGGTGCTTTCCTGGCTGCAAGGTCGGGGTGGCTTGGGGTGGGGAGCAAAGACCCTCAGACTGTATTTGCAATTGACCCTAAAATTGGAGAGCAGCTAGCCCTGGGCCTTCTTTTTCTAGAGTGTGTGACTTTGCCAAGTATTAGGTCTTGTGGGGTTCAGCGCAGGCTTCCCTACCAGGAGGATTCTGATAGTGTATAATCTGGTCATTTTTCTCCCCACACTCTGAGAATCCCTCTTCCTCCTGCTGGGTATTGTGGCCAATACCCCTGCCCGGAGCCCCCCAAACAAGGCTTACACTCCCCAGGCAGTGTCAGCAGGGCTTGGAGAGTGGGACCCCAGGCTCATGGAACCATCCAGTGGAAATCCTTTGATTAAAAGCTACAGTAATCATCGGGTGATGCTACCTGCATTGTCATGATTTCTTGTTTCCGAGCAATGCTGTTTATATCCGCATGGCTGACCCTCCAGCAGGCACGAGACAGCTTGATGCTTAGCACCCACGATGTTTTTAGGGCCCGCAGAAATGTTTTAATTTCTTAAAATCTGAAGGAAAACCATAACTAAAACTTCCTGGGTTGAATTCATTTTTATACCCACACAGTTCTAAAATATATTTTTTTTAATTGAGAAAGGCATCCCAGAGGTGGAAGAGCTCCCTAAAATCAAGTCCTGGACCCAGACATGTACACAAACATGGATGTGCCTATATAGGTAGCCCCAGCGCCGCCCTCAACAGATTGTCTCACTGGGTTGTCAAGTGCCCACTGCTTGCTCCTGACCACTCTCCTGCCCAAAGCCGCTCTGGGGGCCTGTGCTGCTGCTGCCTCCTCTCCTTCACGCCGTGGTGACCATGACCCATGGCTCCTCGGGTTATGAAATGCCACTTACCTCTGGAGATAACAGGCACGACTTGGGCTTCCATAGCTCATTTTGGGGGTTCTGGTGAGGTGACCTCTCAGCAGTCTGGAAGCCCAGAGGAAGTGGGGCCAGGCAAGCAGATTAACACAGCAGTTTCTGTCTCTGGGCGTCCCTACAAAGGCTTTCAAGACCATTCCCACTCCAGCCTCTTCAGGAGCAGCTGAAGCGGTGCTCACTCAGGCCGCACAATGGAAAGGACAAACGACTCTCTGCCCAGCAGGAAAAGAGCCGCTCCTTGACCTTTAGAGCATTCTGAGCTTGCGGGGGGAGGAGGGGTGTGGGGTCAAGACCCCAAGCAAAATGGCCATTCTTAGAGAAGTAGCTGCTCTCTGACTGAGGAAAGCAACCTCCCCGCCCCCTCCAATACCTGCAGGTGCCAGCGAATGGCTGCCCAGCTGTGGCGGGTCTTTATCTGTGTTTTCATGGAATCCAGGTGATGGGGTGGAGCACCCCACTGATAGTGGGTGGCAGGTCTGCTCCTCCTAGTTCTGATTGCTCCTTTTCACCCTTTAGCAGTGGCGGCACAGATGCCCCTGCCAGTGTCAGGCCCCTCTGGTTGGTCACGCCCTTCGGAGTTCCTTATCGAGATGAGATTACTTTTGCTTTCCCCACGGTGGACTTTTTGTAGCTTGTGGGAATATGCCCTGAGCACTCTCAGCATTACAGAGAGCGCCCTCATTTCCACAGGGACCCTCTGAATGTGCTGTCAGGGCCTGATGAGCAACCCCACTCTTACTTCTCTCATGGTACATGTGTCTCTTTCCACCTCTCTTTGCTCTCATCGCCTGAGAAGTGGGCATTTGTGCCCTGTGGTGGTGTCCTCAACCCTGGCTGCCCACAACACAGCATGGGGCGTGTGCCTTACACAAGCCCAGGTGCACAGGTCCCACCCAGCTGTCACTGAAGTGACCCTTCTGGGGTGGGGCCCAGTATTACCTGGTTTAAAGTCCCCATCCCCCAGGGGATTCTGAAGTGCAGCCTGGATTGAGGGCTGCTGTGTTATGGGGTTCTTGGGGGGGGGGGAGGTCTATAGCTTTGCTAGATTGTTTTTCTAATAACTAAAAATGAATTCTCATTACAGTTTGGGGCGGGAGTGTGGATGAGCAATCATTTCCCATTCTCTTACCCTCTTACGGGGCTTTTGGCCTTGGCTCTAGTTACTTTGGAGCCTGCTGGTGAATGTCCTGTGGCCTGCAGTGGCACTGCTCCCCCAAGTTGTGATGACCAGAAGGGTTTCCAAACATTGCCAGATGTCCTTGGGGAGCCAAATGCCCCTCCTCCCTCCTGCCCAACCCCTGTGGGCAGCCACTGTCCTGACAAGTTAACACATAGGGTGCTCTGTGGGCAAGGTTTATGTGGGTTCACTTCTCACCTACGAGTTGAATCATTGGGGTAGCTCTGAAGGCAGAATATAAAAATATGGCTTAATAAGTGTCATATGACTGCATAGCATACATACCCTGTGATTCACTGATAGCTTGTTATAGTTGAATATCTTAAAATTGCTCAAAGTAGAAAATAAAAATATTTGTATATAGAAAGAGGACCTCATTTTTTTTTAAAGATAAAACACCAAAAAAGCCACTAAATGTGAATTTTTATTTTCATCATTGGGAATTTTGTATAGCCTCATAATCCCCAAATTTGTTCCCATAAGCCTCCCTTTGTGCGAGTAAGCTTTGAAGTCTGTTCTACATGCGACCCTAAGACACTTGTTTCAATTAGATTCTAGAAAAGAGTGTCCTAAAAATGTCTCTTGCAAAAAGCGGAAATGGTCTTATATAGGACCTCATTATTTCCTGTAACAATGGTACAGCTTGTCTGCTCTCACAGATGGAGAGGGAAAGTGGTCTCAGACCCATGAACCCCACGTGTGACTTGTCTTGTGATCTTCCTCCAGGGCCCCCTCCTTTGATGCAGCTCTGCCGCCTGCGAATCCGGAAGTGCTTTGGGATCCAGCAACATCATAAGATCACCAGACTGGTCCTCCCCCAGGAGCTGAAACAGTTTCTCCTACACCTTTGAGGGTGCCAAGGGAATATGGAGTTACAAACAACAGACCAATGCTACCGCGTCTTGTGGCTTCTGGAATTTTCACATCGGTCCCATTTACAGAGCTTGGCTAGTTTTCTTCCACTGGGTTTTTATGTTCAGTGGCAACACACTGGGTACTTTTGTGCTATTAGTAGGAAGGCAGGAAAATTGGAAGGGGATGGCTCACACAACTAATAGTTTTGAACATCTACTACTTGCCAAGACTGAGCTAGGAACACGTTATGCCTTGTGTAATTTAGCCTCACGGCCACCCTGCTGCATGGGTGAGCTGCTTTCCCCTGCTGCAGGGGAGACAGCCTCAAGGAGGTCATTTTGTCCAGTTGCCCATGCGAGGATAGTTTTTCTGGGGCTGACCTGGGGAGTGTGGAGTGGGGCAGAATTTTCCCTTTTTACTGTCCTGGCTCCATCTCCATGACATGCAAAGGGAGATGAAGAGGAAAGACATTTCTTTGTCCACGTCTGCCATTGTTTAAAACCCTTCCCATTCTTAGGACAAAACCACAACTGCCCTAGTAGAGTAGAGGAGTCAGTTTTGCCAACTAAAATGTCAAATATATTTCAGATACATTCTAGAACTGCTACTGTCGAACACAGCACTGTGGCTACTGGCCCAGTGGGTTTTCAACTAGCACTGGTTTGGCTCCCTCAGGGACACTTGAGTGTTTGGGGGTACTTTTGATTGTCACAGCTGGGACACCTTGTGGGTAGCAGCCAGGGCTGTTGCTAAACCTCCCCGCCACAAAGAATGATCCAGTTCAAAATGTAAGTAGTGCCACAATTGAGAAACCCTATGCTAACCTCGTGTGGCCATTTAAAAAATAGAAATTAGATAAAATGAAAAATCTACTTCCTCGGTGTCAGTAGCCACATTTCTGATGCTTAACAACCACACACAGCTAGTGGTGCTATATTAGACGGCACCCATAACATCGCAAAAAATTCTATTGCTCCAGCATTGCAGAAATTTCTGTTAGCACCCTCCAGATACTTGGTGGATGGGTTTGAACTGCCATTCAGTTTCTGATTTACTTGAGACCTGTGATTTGATTTAATAATGAAGGCAGTAGTTTCAGTTTTCTCTCTGAGAGAGGAATTTGGAGCTCCGTTGACCTGATAAAAAGAAAGAAAATATTGTACATACTTAAGTCAAATCCTTACCTGTATGATGACATACAGCCTAAAGGATCTCTCAAGATAGTCCAGTATAGTTTCCTGTGATTCTCATATTCTACTTGCTATGGAAAAGACACTATAATGCCCAACTAGTTTTCCAGCAGATGGCGCTGCTGCCACATGGTGGCTAAAGCAAAACGGTAGCTCCTCATAAATGACCCATTGTAAGATGGTTTACAACATAAGCTCTGGAAATTTCCATCCGGGAATGAAAACTTTGTAATCATCACTCCCATTGGCAACAGATTTCCTTTTCCAAACATTGAAATGCAACTCTCTAGAACCTCACCTCCCTGCTGCTGTAAAAAAAAATGCTTGATCTGATCGTGTTTACATTTGTAACGGCTCAGGATGTAGACAGCTAATCAACACCAGCATCCTGCGCTCGCTAATTCATTTAGTCCATCTCTTCGGGACATAATTAGTGAGGGCCTGCGTCTGTGCTCTAGGCGCCAGTGGGGCCACGGTGGAAAGGAGCAGCGCGATGCTGGCTCCGAATCTTCCACTCCAGCGGGGGAAATCATTTGCTAAGGAGAGAGGCGCTGGAGGCCTTTTACTATAGGTTTTGGTGGTTTTTTTTTTTTTTTTTGAAAACTAGTTTAAAAAAATATCACGGCTTCTCATATAAAATGTGTTGGACAGACTTGCTTATGTCAGTCTTCCCTCAGCCAAATTCCTCCAAGTTTAAGCCAGGAGTGTAGGGAATTAGGGAACAAGCGTTTTTCTTCAATCTCCCAGTGAACCAGTTCGCATATCCTTGTAAGAGACGGTCATTTCCGCAGGTGGGGACATCACGGCCACCGCCCTCGCGTCCGTTTAGGAAAATTTCAGATCACCTCAGCTAGCACTGCTCAAAAAGAAGATTCTGTTTAACTTGGAAGTCTTTTTTTTTTTTTTTATGAGCCTAGTGGTGGTTCCATTTGTCGGTGGTCTACACCTTTGAATGTTTTATCATCACCATCTGACAGAACTTACCAACTTCTGCCATCAAGGCTGGTTCGGTGACACAAAGCCCCCCAGCTTCATGAATGAGGGGTAGAAAATGCTCAGTGTGGTGAAACCATACCAAAACCACCTCTTGAAAATGGTAATGACTTTGTTTTATCTTGTGTCTACTTTGTTTTTAGATTGCAAACTTAACACAATTATTGTAGCCCAGTCTCGTCATGATTTTTCTACATTTCCCTTGGTTTTATCCAGTCAAAACGCGGGCCAGTAGGTACCTAGGAACGGGACGATTCAGGTTACAAATGAAAGGGGGTTGATTTGTTCTGGGTTTATTTTGTGGCTGATTGACGTGGTCCGATACTCCCTGTACTGGGCTGGAGTGGTCAGTCACTGAGCAGATACTCGAGGCCCAGAAGCCAGGCAGCAAGATGTGCTCAGCGGTCTATTCTGGGGCTTCATAATATGGGGGGGGGGGCTTATAATACGAAAGCCCAGCCTTGGGGCTTGATAGGACCCAGCGACGGTGAAAGGCAGCGAAGTAACAGCTCGCGTTGCAGAGTGCTGCGTAAGGGCCACGGTTCGGCCACTTATGACCCTCCCCTCAAAGTTCTGTCACCCCACTCTGCAGATGGGGTGCAGAGGGTTTAAGGAACTCGCAAAAAGCCACACAGATGGTGACTACAGCACTGCCTTTCATTTTCTTGCTCCTGGGTACTAGAACCCCTTGCTTCACACCTCACCGCCCCCCCAGCCCCCGTTTGGGAAAAGAGCGAAGCCAGGTATGAGGTCAAAGGTCGCGCTAGCTCTGCGGCTGCGCCAGGTCAGGCCTGCTGCGACTTGCCTGGGAGCGTTGGACGCTTCGGGTGCAATTGGAAACTGAGCCCTGGAGGCCGGGAGAGAGGCCGGCCGATCCTGATGGGTAAGTGGCGCTTTGCAGTGATCCTCAGGCCTGGCAGGGCTGGCCCCCAGAATCTGGGGAGAGGCCTCCACTGACTAGTCCGTATTGTCTCGCCTGCACATTATGCTCTCAAGGCAGCGGCCTCGAAAGGGCTCCCCGTGGAGGGTGATGGCTGGAGCTAATGCCACATGGAGTGGGACAGGGTAAGGAGCCTCCATGGCGCGGGGCCAGCTTGGGGGGAATCACTGACATTTGTGTAGCCTGACCAGGTGCCGGGAAGCTGCCTGGGCTTGGAGCAGAATTTTCTGGCTGCTCATTTGCGAGTTGTGCAAGGGCTCTTGTCTGTGTGCTTCCCTGCTGTGAGCGTTCTGTGGCTGCCCACAAAAGACTGCGGGACTTAGTGGCCTGAAGCCACACACATGTATTAGCACATCGTTGGGCAGGTCAGGGGGCCAGGCGCAGCAGGACTGGATTCTTCCTCTCTCCTCCCCACCCACCTCGCGCCTCGCAGGGCCTTCCGGTATTGGGCGAGGCTAGTTTTCATCGAGGCTTGGGGGTTGTAGGGTACGTAAATGATACCAGGGTTTTCTGCCCTCCCGCCATTAGGATGGATGGTGGATCCCTGCGGTCCTGAAGGCATGCCTGATGGCGGCACCTGGAGTGGGGTGTGGGCATGCGTTAGTGGGTGCACCTGGGCTGAGACTGGACTTAATAAGGGCGGCGTCCCGGGAACGCCAGCAGAAGCAGAAGCACGAGAGAGCAGAGAGAACGCAAGAGAAGGCCGGAGAGCCCAGAGGAGTGAAGGCTTGCTGCACCCCTGCCTGCCGTGTACCCGGTAAATCCCACCAAAAGCCTAAAAAGCCACTGGGGCCTCCAGGACTTCTTTACCCCATCTGCTCGAATCATAGAGAAACCTGCCCCGTTGTCCTCCTGCCCCTACAGGGGTCTTTTTGCAAGCTCACTGGTTGAAGGCAGAATTCAGTGCCTTGTGGTTTTGGAGAACTTGCGCCCCGTTTTCCTGCTACATGTCGTGTGTGTGTGGGGGGGTCCCCTCAGCATCTTGAGACCACCCAGAGCTCAATTTGTGGGAAGTTCAGGCCACGTGGAAGTGGCCCCCTGACCTCCCAGGCTGTTGCTTCTAGAGGCCCCGGGATCATCTCAGTTAAGGGCCCTGATTTGGGACGTGATTACTCAGTCCATTCAAATGAGCACCTGGGTTAGTGTTCGCGTAACCAGCAGGAGTGTGGACACTGAGAATTCGGCCTGTAATCCTCATGGCAGATCCCCATCACTTCTGTGTTGTTTGTCTGGAGTCCAACATACAATTACATCATGGTGATTCTTTAATATTTTGTATTGAACTAACACTGGCTCATACCCATTAGACAGGTTTCAGGTGTCCAGGATTATGATCAGCGCTTGTTTACATTACATTGTGCTCATCACCACACAGTGACCCCTGACCCTTCCTTTCTGCTGACCTCTGTTTTGCCCTGGTAGTCGGAGACATTGTTTTGTTAGCCAAATTGTTACTGGTCCATCCACTCTCAGATCTGACCACTGGCCAGCTCACCTTAGGCAGAAGACATCGGTGACCCCCAGCCAGCTCACCTTGGCCAGAGACATTGGTTCTTGCCTTTGCTGACTCCCCTAGGCACTCTCTGTGATGTCTTCTCCACCCGTGGGAGAGATTCCCCAGCCTCCCACTTGCCCAAGGCCCATCTTCCTACTCAGGTTTCCTGTCTGATGCGCTGGTGATGTCACTCGTTGTGACCAGCCCCCCCCCCCCGCTCACAAAGGCTTGAACTCACTCCACTGACACAGGCCACCTGTCTTACTGGATGGCCCAGAAGCCCCCAAATGCCAGCGTCCATGGACACCTTCTGTCCATGCGGTCTGCAGGCTTGTTCTGGTGGGTGAAGAACAGGCACCCCCCAGGCCTTCCTGTGTCTTGCTCCACTCCCACTCTTTTTTTTTTTTTTTTAAAGATTTATTTATTTATTCAAGCACTGGGTACAGTCAGAAGTGCGGGAGGGTGAGAGAATTCACCAGCGCCAGAGCGGGGAGCAGAGCAGGCAGAAGGACCGAAGGACACTGCTGAGGGGAGCAGCGGGCGGCAGGAGAGGTCTGCGCGCCATGTGGGACCCTCCTCCGGTGGCCGGGGAGCAGCCGGGGATCGAACCGGCGCCGCAGAGGCTGCGGGCAGCGTTGCAACCTGGCGCTCAACCACTGCGCCACCGGGGAGGCCCGTCCACTCCCACTCTTCATGGTGGTAGGGCTGTGACTCAGGAAGGCATAGTTTGGCTTCCACAGCGGACTCCTCGTGAGGACACGGCAGAGATCCACAGCCCTGTCTGCTCGGTGCAGAGAGGCTCCACCCTTCACGCTGCGTCCTCCACCATGTGATGGAAGAGAGCGGCCACTGCCTGACACGCCCTGCGAGACCTTTAGACTCCTTCAAGTGTATAAATTCTCACTGATTTGACAAGATTGATTTTCTACCCTTTACTTTGCAAAATCCATTGTGAGGCCGAAACAAGTAAAATTGATTTCTGCTCGCTTTCCTCCCCACCCAAGGCCTCTTTCCTCACTCCTGGCAATATGAGTTTTTGACTTTCTGTGCCCTTTTGAAAAGCTTGGTGTGGGGGGAACACAGTGAGATCAAGAGGTTCTGCAGTCGGTGTGGGAATCTCAATGTGTTGGGTGTTTAAGCCTCATTAGCTCAGAAGATGCCTCTGTTGGAAGTCTACGGACGTGCATTGTACATGTTGGACACTGGGACTGGTGTCACCCTGCTTTATGCTTAATTCACAGTTTGTGCATTTTTACTTAAGTAAGCATGCACTGTAGAAGCCACAGGGGGACGTTGCGTGCTCTGAGGACATGGTGCAGGAGGCAGTGGCATGGGCCTGCCTCCCACTCTTCCACGTAAGCCAGGAGTGTCCTCTTTTGGTTCTCAACAATGAATTTAGTTTCCCTCTGATTAATGAGCTCGAGGCTCTGTCTGTAGTTCAGCACACTGCAGATTGAAGGCAGCTGTTCTGCTCTGGCACCCCACCAGTGGTGGTGATGCCAAATTGGTTGTTAAATGAGGCTGGCACGGAGTTTTCCTTGGGCTGTGACTTTCAGTGTCTCATGTGATCGCCACTCTAGGTCAGAACCAAAGACAAGTTCCTTTGGACGGGAGAACGACTTTAGTTGGCTGGAGCCTTCCAACTGGACCGTGCTGGGAGACCCATCAAAATAGATGGCTTCCTGTAAGCCTCCATCTTCTTAGACTTGGCGTAGAGGGCAAAGGCCCGTCTTTCGCTGGAGAGTCATGGAATAATGAGCTTCGCCGAATTAGTTTGTTCATCAGGAAAGAAAGGACTCAAGAGTGAGCGGGGGATGGGTTTTTCCTCAAAATGGAGTCACAGGACAGTGTTTGGCTGCTCTCAGCAAAGGGATGCAGCTCCAGGAAAAAAATACAAAAATGTGATGTGATGTGTGGTGGTGACCGATTTCTATAGTGTAAATACATCCACGCAGGCCACTTTCAGGCTACCAACATGACGTCATTGAGGGCAGAATTAGGAACAAAAGTGCAATCTTTTGTTTTTGAGGAGCTGGTTGTAACTGATGCAAGCACTAACTTCTAGAAATGGTTAGACCATATGGAATGAGCCTGGCTCCTGCCAGCTGCTTCAGAAGACTGTCCCTGACAGTGAAGGCTGTCTGAGTGATGTCACTTGTCACTGTGGCCCACCTTTATGCCTCAGACACAAGCCTCGAACTCGCAGTGATTTTCTGCTCTGTCTGTTTCTTCAACTCATTTATTTATTCATCAAATAATAAATGGAGACGATCTGCTCTGATCCAGAGATTCTGCAGTGAAATCAATTAGACCAGGAACTTTGCTCTCCCAGAGGTGCCCACTTGGAGGACAATACAGAATCCTAAGGAGAGTCATAATGAATAAATAACAAAGTAATAACAAATAAAGGGTATTAACGTGGTGAGCAAAATAACTGAAATAGATGGGTGTCTGCTGGTGACAAGCGCTGCAGTCACAAGGAGACCAGGGACGGGGGCTGGTGCAGGGCCTAATGGGTGTGGTGACCCGAGCTTTGATCACCGAAGGCGACTCACGGGGCTGTAAATGACGTGCTTACAAGCCTGTAGTCTGTTAGAGGGAAGGCGCGCAGCAGCGAAAGAGCAGTAAAGTAAGGCTGTGCATCAGAGGCAAAGGCGCTCTTGTCGCCAGCGATCTGGAGAGGTGAGGGGTGGGAATCTAATGTCCCCCCCCCACCCCTGAAGGGCTGGGGCAGGGTGCATTCTTGCCTTCTGAGCAGGAGCTATAGACGTGTGCCTGGTACCCCTGGGGACTGAGGAGCCCCAAGTGGAGTCTTGGCTGGAGTATTTTATGCTTTGCAGGTTACCTATGCTTATGCTCTGTGGAACGAACCTTAAACCACAGAGACCTCTGAGAGTCCCCCCCGCCACCAGATTATCAACGAACGATGCTGACAAACTGGTGCAGACCTCCCCCAACTCCTCAAACCCCTGGTGACACAGCAGCACCATGACTTACAGGTTTTACCCCTTGGCCAGGCATCAGGCCATCTAGACACATTCCTTTTTTCAATGGAACAGTTTGGGCCAGTTCTGGGCAGCCTGCAATGAACGCTCAGAGCACAGACTGCGATTCTAAATATTAAATCAGGAAGAGCTTAACCAAGAAAGTGGTGTTTCAGGCAGAGTCTCCAGGTGGGGACAGAACTAGCTATGCAGAAATCTGAAGGCAGTTTCCTCCAGACTCTCCTAACCCCTTTGAGCAGAGAGGTGCACAAATGGAAAGGCCACGAGGCAGGGTCTTGTTCAGGGAAAGCTGTGGGGTCTGTGAGATCAAGCCTGGGTGGATAACGGGGAACCTCAGTTGATGATCTCGAAGAGATGAGCGGCACATGCTGGATGGAAATAGGGAGCGTGTGTGTGGTCCCTGTGAGATGTTTCTGGACTCTGCTTGCTTTTCCTCACATGTTGCCTGGATCTCTCAGTCCATGAAACCAGGAATTCTTAACCTGGGACTCTGTCTAGAATTGAGGAGGCCTATACATTACAATTTGGCAAAAAAATGTTTGTTTTCACTGAAATCGAGCGTTCCCTTCAGTTGGGCACACAGGGAAGCAGGGTGGAGTTCGCGCTGAGCACCCCTCTCCATCCATCGAGCTCAGTGATATTTTTATATTAGATTCTAATTTCTGCAAAGATTCTGAAATATCATTTATGCTCTTCACGTCTCTGATACTTTGTTGACGGAGCTGCTGTTCGAGTGCACAGGATGACTCCCCCCCCCCCCCGCCCTGATCAAATGACCAAGTTAAATATTTTCCCAGCTGGAGTTGAAGTCAGCAGGCTTTGGAGAATGCTGATGTCTTCAGAGGAAGACTGTCCCGTAAATGAGCTATACAAGCTCAGTGCCACTCACAACAATATGTTGTTGTCAGATTTGGGGGTTCCTGGATTTTGGGTTTCCTCATTCCGTGACTGAGAAGAATTCCCAGCCATGTCTTGGTAAAGCAAAGGAAAGTTTATTAAAGGCAGAATGAAAATATGCCTGGAAAGACGCCTGGGCAGACAGTCCTGGGAAGAACAACTGCAACGGAATTGTGGGGGTGTTCTTATCTTAAATGGGGTGCAGAACCTGCTCACCCCACCCCTTCTTGGGGTACACTGTGCAGGCACTCTCGGGGTGGTGATTTATCAGTTCAGGCTGCCATTTCTAAGTCACTCCTCCTCCTGCTGTGCTCTGGGGGGGCACTTTTATCAACTGGGCAGCAGCTTGGGGAGGGAGAGCGCTTGG